TAAATAATAACAATAATATGATAGTATCAATAGCAATATTATTTATCTTAGTGTTACACAGAGGCGGGTGGAGCACTGAAATATTATGGCTGGAAAAATCAACGTATCAACAGTAAATACACTTTACTGTTAATAATTTAGAGGCAAAAGCCATTTCTGCGCTTGTGGCTAGTTTATTGTTGTCACAGCAACTCTGCCTACCAAGATGGCTGCTGCCATCACAAACCTAATCAGGACAGAAGCTGCCACTGGATACGGGTCCAATAAGCATCAGAACTGTGGCGTCGCATTTCATCCTGAACCTGAATGATTTCTGCTTCTGAGCTTCGTTCTGAGATGAAAACTGATTCTGGACGGCGTCCATCTTTGTGAATTCATTCATATTTATATTAATGTGGAAGTTTTTGTAATGTAAACGCAGTTTAATGTAAACGGTCTCACCTCATAAATGTCTCAGAATGTTTGCAAATTATTAGTTTTTACTCATTGAAACTTTTCAGCACTAAGAAACGCTGTGGAAAAAGTTGGAACTAAATCAGAACTAAATTGGGAAAATAAAATCCTATTAAATAAAAATAGTAGATAACGGTGACACAGGGAAGAGGAGGAACATAGAAAAAAGAGGAAAAAGAGCCAGAAATAATAAAAGAAGTGATGAGGAAGCAAAGGGAAGGAGAGTGTCCTCTCTATCAGCAGATAAGCGGCAGAAACAGATGAATCCTATTGGCCGGAGAGCCTCATCCAGCCTCTTATCTCCTCGCCTTCATCAACTCAGGACACATTTCATAGAAATTTGCGAAATCAGGAAAGCCGAGTATCGTGTCATCTATCACCGGGCGACGCCGGCCCATACATCCTCCCAGCTTCACAATAAAAGCCACAATTGACATTTTAAAAAAAAAAGTTTCTCAACAATTATGCTGCAGCAGCTTGGAAGCAGCTTTCAAGGTCGAACAAAACTTTGAGTTTATGTTTCAGGTCCAGAATGAGCAAATTTACCGGAGACACAGAACAGAGGGACGAGGATCCTGTTCCAGAAAAACTTCTGATGAAATTAAAATAAAGACAAAAAAATTATTTTACTGTTTCAGTTTCACCAAACAAACTGAAATAAACCATCATTAAGCGTCATCTCTTTGTTCCCTCTAAACAAATTTATTTTACTTTAACTACAGAAGCCCAGAAAAGGCAACTTGCAAAACTGCACAACTTTAACGACAAGCGTTGTTTTAAACATGCCGAACCTGTAGGGGGCAGTGCAGCACAAAACCTGTCAGCCAATCAGATTGCTCCAAAACAAAACACTTCCTGTTAAGAATTAAATCTGGATCGTTTGTGCAGACAGACATCAGGTTGAACTACTTTTAAATATATTAGAATATTAAGTTCATAAAACAACTTTGATACCAAGTTTCTTCCTGTTAGGCCTGAATTATGTGGCTAAGCTTTCCGGGGGTTATTAACACTTTAATAATTTATTCATTTAAAACAGATTTTTGAGTTTTCTCAGTTACTTGAGTGGAAGAAAAAAAACAGAAAAAACTTGAATCATGAAACAAACATTTTTTACAGTGCAGGATGAGATGTGCCTACATGCTCATGATTCTGTTTACAACTGAAAATTGCTTTTGAATTTACACTTTTATGCAAATTATATTAAAAATAATTAAAAGCATGAAACTTTGGTTCATGCATTTGGGTATATTGTATTTGTTCCATGCAGGGAGGAGCTGAGAGCTTCCAGGCTGAGATCGGTTTATTCTCTCTGGTACTGAGCAGAACCTGCGAGTCTGAATCGGGTCCTGAACGGCCTTTTGAATGTCTGCTCCCGTGTTGTGCATGACAAACTGGTCCAATTCCAGGCGTGTCGGGACGCCGAGCTGATATTTGTCTTGCTGGTGTTGAAGATGTTTTGCCCCTTCCCTCCTCCTCCTCTGGTGTTTTTGTTTCTTTTTTTTTAGTTTTCCTGCAGATTTAAATCGGCTGGAGGCCCGCGGTCCGTTCCTGCTCTGACAGCGCAGAAATAATTACAGTTACAGATCGGCTTGTTGTTATATTAGCCCTCTTATCAGGCTGCAGAGGGGAGCAGTTGATCAAGCGAGGTCACTGTATCCTGACCACAGCACAACAGCTACACGGTTATTTGGAGATATGATAAATAAAAGCTGAAACAACACTCTTATCAGCCTCTGAGTGCTTTTTGCTTCATTCTCTCTGCTCTGTGGACGTGTCTCCAGAGAAAAGAGGGGAAAGTTAACAAAAACCTGCAACCATCTGGTGATTAACTCCTGAGCTAAAATAACAGATGATTTCTCTGCATAATTTTAAAGCTTCAAGCTGAGAAAGTGTGCTTTCAGCATGCATGCGAGGCTATTTATTTATTCCCCGACCCTGTCAGATAGCGTGTGAGGTTGTATAAATGTAGCCACATTATTCTAACAACGGGGTCGCAGACAGCAGCGCAGCAGAGAGCAGAGATAATAGATGCACCTACATTATCCTGAGGTGGCGGGGAAATTGAGAGGTGAGGAGGGTGAGCAGAAAAGATGTGCCTACATTATTAGAAAGCCAGATTGATAGTGACGGAGGTCGAGGCTGAGGGGGTAAAAATAAATACATCTACATTATTCTGGAGTCATGTGAGTACGGGAGGTTAGGCTGAGCGAGAAAAACAGATGCAGAGGCATTATTCTTTAGTCAAAGTGAAATTTTTAGAGGTGGAGGTGAAGCTGGAAAACTGTATGAACCATTACTCTTCGGTTAAAGTGATAGTGGGAGGTTAAGGATGCAGCTTTACCTGCTTTACTCAGAGGCTGAAGAGCCTGGAGGAGCCTGGAAGAGCCTGGAGGAGCCTGGAGGAGCCTGGAAGAGCCTGGAGGAGCCTGGAAGAGCCTGGAAGAGCCTGGAGGAGCCTGGAAGAGCCTGGAGGAGCCTGGAGGAGCCTGGAGGAGCCTGGAGGAGCCTGGAAGAGCCTGGAGGAGCCTGGAAGAGCCTGGAGGAGCCTGGAAGAGCCTGGAGGCTCCAGTCAGCGGCTGCTGGAGGAATCCCTGCAGGAACGAAAACAGAAATCAGTTCATTAATAACTCAGTTTATTGATACAGAACACATTCAAAACAAATGTTTGCTAAAAACAAAAATAGCAAAAATTAGGACTTTGTACTACTTAATTATAAACATTACTTATATATATATATCTTAATGTGTTTTTACACACACAGGTTGAGCATCTGCACTTATTGATTCCTAAATTAGCATCAATGCACATTTTGCAGATTATACTAGCTAGCTAGTACTTAATGCTGACTGCTAGCTAACTTCTGTTTAGCTAATGATGGATGAAGAAGAAAATGAACCAAAACACATTAATCATTTCATAGAAATTTATATTTTAAAGTACTGAAAGGGTTAAAGTTAAGAACTTAACTGTATCAAATATTTGTATAATTGATGCTAAATATTAAATGCTAGCTTGATAATGTCATTGTTTAAATAATTTTATCAGTAAAATTCATGCTACATAAATTAGCAACAGATACTACAACTAAAGGAACATGGGAAAATTATAATGCAATTTATATGTAGAAATTTTTTGATCAATTAAAAAAGTTGAACAAGAGAAGGAATGCAAAACACTTCAACTGGTCACAATAAGTAAACGACTGATTTTCAAATAATCATTTTGAATAGTCCAAAATAGTCTGCATGTTGAAATTCAGACTGACATGCAGCGTTAATAATAAATGTTGCTCAGGACGGTTTCAGTAAAGTCACACATGAATTGTGTTGTGCAGAAACCTTCAGCATGAATATGACAGCTAGTCAATGCAGCGACAGCCACAATGCAAACGACCACAGCGGCAACTTTCTGACAGCAGTTTGAGCTCAGATATGCAGAGCTGATGGGAAACCGGCTGACAGCCGCAGGAACCGCTTCACATTTTCACTGTCAGAGCCACAAGACAGAGGAGACACTGAGAGGGACAAAGAGACAAACTACAGTCAAATATTTACACACTGACGTCTTACTGTCACATTTATGAGGTTAAAACTTAATAAACTCCTCACAACTCCAGCTATTTGTATATTCATATCTTAATATTAAATAAATAAAATGATTAAAATGTTAATTTATTCCAGTTACTCAAATAAGTGAAGTTTTTATTGTATTTAAATTTAGCTTTGAGTTAGAAAAACACAGAGAACATTTATCAGTCAAAATTTAAAAAACAACTTATAATTAGATTATTCTGATCTAATACACCTGATTAATTAACCTGATCAGTTTGATCACCTGTAATAAACAAGCCTTCATGACTGGCTCCATTTTGAAAGCCCTTTATTAAAACCACTTTATTAAAACCACTTTATTGAACACTGGTGTCACTTTAAAAAAAAAACATTTGTACATCAGCAGCCATTTGGAAAACAGAAGTTTAACTTCTGAGTATTTATTTGTGTTAATTCATAATCAATTTAGTTTAAATCAATCAGAGCCTTTTGTGCTGCCATCATGTTATTAATAAATGTTTCAACCATCGAACCAATTATGTGATAATTAACGGCGCTAAAAACAGAAAACTTCATTATTAGAACTTTTGTTTGCTTTAAAACTTGTATCTCAAATATAACAAACAGTTTGCTGCACAAACGTTTGGCACCAATTTAATTTAATTAGAAGGAAATTAAGACTAAAATTCAAACGCTCACCTGTCGTTTCCGTTTCCTCTCCAGGGTGTTCGGGAAAATCCTTCCCCAGGAGTACGGACAATATTTATTGGTTCCGGGATAAAATTGTGGGCAACTTTCATAACTGCGCTTGGGTGTAAGGCTAAAACATAAAATATTTATAAACGAGATAATGTGTATATTTTTGTATTTATATTTTATTATAACGATGAAAGGTGGTAAACTAAAACTCACCAACGAAACAAGTTGACAGAAAATCTATCAACACTTAAAAGTGTGTTTTATTAAAGCTTTAAAGGTAAAACACAGTGAAATAAAGGATGAGATACATTCTTTATTGTAATTAAAGTCTTCAATCATCAGCTCAGCTGCACTGCAGGAATGTCACATCAAAAGATTCCCAAACAAATCAACAATTTCATCGTCTTTGAAAATACAAAAGAAAATCAGCAAAAACCTTCCAACCATTCAACGGTTAACAAGAATGCAAAAGATTTTTAAAAACTCATACAAATCAATAAATGTTGATATTTCAGATGAGCAGAGTTGGAAATATGCAGAAGATTAAATTATTCAAAATCAAAACTTCTTCCAGTTCTTCTTTCGGTTTAAACCAGTTAGAGATGAAAACACTTTCAGGTCAAACTGATTCTGGACGTTTTTCTGCAATGTGATTTAAAATCAATGAAAAAAATCAGAACAAACTGCAGAATTTGCTACAAAACATGTAAAACTGCAGCTTTCACAAAGATTCACAGACATAAAAAAACATCTTCAGTTTGATTCAGGGACGGACAAACGGTCAGCTGAGAAGTTCAAACTTTCAGGAAAATAACAGCTTCACCTTCACTTTCCCGGTTCATAAAGAACAGAAACTGCTTCTGTTCAGTCTGCAATTTAAAGATCATACAAAAAAAAAACATTTTTCGATTTTTGATTGAACAAAAATTGCTGCTTTTTATCCAGTCCAACCTGTTTCTCTTATATTTTTGTCTGAACACATTTTTAGAAATAAAAGACGCTCGTTTATTTTGGACACTTAAAAAGCCACATTTTGTAAATTTACCAGATGTTTCAGTTTTTTATCATGTAAATTGAGCCTTTTTTATTAAATCTGCAGCGAACAGAACCAGACTCTTCCAGTTTCGGGCTCAAACAAAAACGTTGCCTTCACTTTCGATCATACAGCAACAGAAACAAGGCTCTTATTATGAAAGGCTTAACAGGAAGTAATAGCAAAGAGGAATAACTTGATGATGATCTCTGATTGAAGAAGCTGTAATTGTTCCTCTGCTGATGGCAAAGGATTGTTTTTGAAAAAATGTTTAAAAAGCTTCATGTTCAATGCAGAGAATAAAGGTGGATTTTGGTTCTGGTTCTAAATGATATTCAGGATCGTTCTGAGTAACTTTTCCCACTAAAACAAGAAAAAAAGTGAAAAATTAGAAACCACCAATCAGAGAGCACTTCAGCTCATTGAAGTCCAGGGATTATGCGTCTCTTTGGGAAATCCTGAATCAAACTTCTCATCTCAACAAGGATCATGGGTAATGGAGTATTTTTCATTAACTACGGAAGCTCCTTGTTGCCAGAAAAGCAGAAAAATGTGACGAATTTTGAGAATATTTGAATCCGAAATACTGACTGTTCAACCTTCTAAGGTTTGCAGACGTTATGAATCACACAGCGCCATCTAGTGGCACAAACACTGAACAACGTCTCGCTGTTGGACTGCTGCCAAACCTCCATTTCAACATATTAGCATCTCAAGACATTTTTATTTGGAACCATGTTTGCATGGTTTTGACATCAGCTTGATAATTAATAATCTGACCTGATTGTTTAATTGACAGGGATAAAAAATAAAGTTAAAAATTAAAGCTTTGTTGTTTTTTGTATTTCTGCAAAATAAGCAAAAGATTTTAGCAAAGGTTTATTTTCTGCCGTCATTTCAATTTTCAAACATTTTCTACATTTTTAGACAAAAATGGGCTTCCATAAATCCAAAAGGAAATTTGTTTACTGAACACTTTTCTTCCTTTGGGTAATTTGAAATGGTCCTTTAATAGAACCGTCCCGATACAGCGCCCCCTGGTGTCAGATATTGGAATAAATCAATGAAAGCTTTGGATGTGTGAGATTAAAGCTCTGTGTTGTAAACTCGTGTTGCATTCACTGTCTGACAGAAATTACTGTTTATTTCACATTTTATAAGAATTTGGTTGTTTCCTGAATCATAAATCAATCGGTTCAAAAACCAAAACCAGAAACTGTGAACTTTGCTCTTTTAATTGCAAAAAGACACTTTGATTATGTGTCTCGCTCCTCATCTTTGCTTCAAACAGGAGGAGGGAGAGGAGAGGTGCATGATGGGTAGTGTAGTCTGTCCCTCTGGTGGCGGGCTCTATGAGATGGCCTTGGCTTCAGGGAGGAAGGCTTCCCAGTATTTAATGAGCTGCAGGCCAGGAAACAAACCATTGTGTTGCTTCTTCCATAAATAGATTCTCATTAAAGTTGCAGCAATAATTTAAAAAAATTTGACACAAAAGAAAAATTTACAACATCATATTAATTTCCTGTCTTATTTCAATTTTTGCTTTTTTAAATAAAAACAATTGTGATGTCAAAACTTTGATGAATAATAAAAATTATTTAATTTAAACTTCCACAAAAATGTATTTCAAACAAAAAATATTTTTTTAGTCACTTTAACTCTTAACAATGAAACTGAGGTTTAATATAAAATGTTTTACCTGCTGTTGTGTTTGAACCAGCGACTCCAGGTATTTAACAATGATCATTTTAAAGTCCTTTACTCTCTCTTTCTGCAGGGAAAACAAGGATGAATTAAAACTCGGAGCAGAAAGCGAAGGGTTGGGAATGAAGCCGACTCGTACCTCGAACCTGCTGACTTCCTTGCGGATGGTTTTGGAGATTTGCTCAAAGTCTCTCTCGCCCTGCTGGACTTTTCCCTCCAGCTGAAACACAGAAAGCAGAAAATATTCAGAGTTCCTGTTTTTATTTGTATTTAATACACACAGCCTGGTACAAATATGTCATTTCATTTTTTGTTGCCCCTGCATTATGGCGAAGAGACTTTTTAAAATTTTGAGTATGAAACTGTAAAATTATGAGAAAAAGTCATTTTAAAAAGAACAAATCTGAGCTGGAGGTATAAAGTGATCAGAGTCTCTGTGGTTCTTTTTCCTTATTAGTTACATAAATAATGTAAAACTTCACAAGATGCTCCTTTAATTTGAAAAAGTTTGGATTCAAGAATTATCATAAAATTACAACTTTGTTGCTATTATGAATTTATTCTCATTTAGTTTATGAACTGTTATTCGCTGCAGGGAACATATTTACTGCTCTTAACCTCTTGACATAACCTCACTGTAAGTAAATCTGGACTGGCCCTTTAAGTTCAGCTTCATTAATTGGAACATTTAAAAACTTCAGTGTAATTTCTTGATGCTGATTAAGTCACTTTTTGGCCTGAATAAAATCATTTCACTTCTGCTCCTGGACCAACGTTTCGCCCAACGACAAAGCAAGATTAGTGGGCGGGGTTTGATCAGGCCACTGAATTCAACCAATGAGAGCAGACTCGGATTTAAACCAGCAACCTCCTTAAACAGGAAGTATTTTCCTAATTAAGGTTTTAAAAGTCTAAAGCTTTTCATCTCTCGTCAGATGGATGGATGTGAAAACAGACACGACTACCAGCAAAAACATGTTGAACTAAATGAGGCAAATGAAGGCGCCAAGCAGGCAGCAGGCAGGCAGCACACGGACAGACAGAAACAGGCGGGGGCGGGGCCTACCTCCTCAATCTCCTGGTGGTGGGAAGGCATGGCAAGGAAAATGCAACAAAATTTAAGAGGCTGGAGAAAATAAAATCAGAGCTTCCAGAACCAAAGAGGAAGATCCAGAAAGATGAGCAAACAGCGAGGAAGAACGAAACCACTGAGGGAAAATTTGCAAACTTACAGAAAAATGTTGGTAAATTTCAGTCCTTTAGTGGAAATTATGAAAAATGATGAACTAAAACTTTAAAAGTTCAGAAAATGTCTGCAGCAGAAGAAGTTAATACTCTGAAATATTCCTCAGTTTTTGCTCCTAAGAATCTGAAACTTTTCTTTCTCAGTTTAAACAGGATTAAAGCTGAAAACAAACGTTTACAACAAGGAGAACATTTCTGCCAAAAAGTCTCAGAAATAAAAATTAAAAAAACCCTGAAAATTTCTGAGTTTTGGTTTTTAAATACTGCATTGATTGAGTTTAAGGTTCAAATGTATTGATTGACCAGTTTTAGGCACATCAGTGATTTTAAGCAGATTTTTGAGCAGCAGCAGTTTTCCAGATGACTGCAGTTCCTGTTTGGCGCCCACAGGGGGCAGTGTGGGTTAATGCTCCAGTTTACAGCGGAGGAGAAGATTGATGATGATTAGAAATAAACCCCTCAAAATGTTATTATTTCTTCTTAATTCAACCAAGAAAGGAAAATTACTTTGACAGAATTATTTATTATTTACTTTTGCATATTTTTGTAAATTTATGACTGAATTTTTTAAATCAAAATATGCAACTTTTTAATGTGTTGTCAGTTTCTGCATCGCAGCAGAAACTGTTCATTAATGTCAGAGTGAATTTGCTGATTATGCCGGGTTAAAGCTGAACCTGCAGGGTTTTCATTGTGTCTCGTTGCGTTTCCTCCAGGTTCTGCTCCCAGGTTTCCCTCCAGCTCCGGTTCCGATCAGCTGCAGGTTTCCAGCTGCAGCGGCGAGGAAAACTCGTTTTCCCGTCAGAAAAAGCCGCTGTGTGTTTTCTGCTGTCAGAGCCGAAGCCCGACTGCTGACAGGAAACTCCAAATAAATGTGGGTTGTAACTCTACTGCGATCGCTGCGCCTGCAGCCTCTGACAGACAGCACCCCCCCCCCCCCATGCTCCGACCCCCGACCTCGCTCCCCTCACCGAGTGTGTGTGTGAGTGTGTGTGCGTTGGGTTCTGACGGGTGAATTTGTGCGGTGACGGCTTCAACAGAAGCTCTAATAAAGTACTTTTCGACTCTCCTGTTTGTCGTTGTGAGTTGGGCTGAAGTCTGCAGACGGGAAGGAAAAGAAGTTTTCGGATGACTGAGCCGAGTTTCTCCTGGCTGCCGGACGAGATCCGCTTTGTTTCACTGGGAAAGGATTCAGCTGATCAGAGCAAAACGCTGCAGAGTCCAGGAAACAATGACGTCTGGCTCCATCAGAGCAGCTCCTAAATTATTAACGTGCATCAGGTTTCTTCACTCCAAAGATCAGATCAACATTCTGCCTCTTGTCAGAAAGACAAACTCAGCTTAGAGCAAACAAAGAGGAAAAACCAGGGGGAGAAACTGCACCAATGATAATTAGATGTAATGTTGCTTCGCACCGCCAGAGGGCGCTCCAGAATCTGCCACCTGGAGTTAAAGGTCCCTGATGAAGGGAAACACTGAGGAGCTTCCTGTTTCAGCCTGAGGTTTGAAAATTACCTACATGAACAGTTTTCATGTGGATGAAACACGAACAAAAAACAAAACGACCCGGAAACGATCCAGAGTGATCCAGAGTGATCCAGAATGATCCAGAGTGATCCAGCTGTGATCCAGAGTGATCCAGCTGTGATCCAGATGTGATCCAGAGTGATCCAGAGTGATCCAGATGTGATCCAGAGTGATCCAGCTGTGATCCAGATGTGATCCAGAGTGATCCAGATGTGATCCAGAGTGATCCAGAGTGATCCAGCTGTGATCCAGATGTGATCCAGAGTGATCCAGAGTGATCCAGCTGTGATCCAGAGTGATCCAGCTGTGATCCAGAGTGATCCAGCTGTGATCCAGAGTGATCCAGCTGTGATCCAGAGTGATCCAGATGTGATCCAGAGTGATCCAGCTGTGATCCAGTGATCCAGCTGTGATCCAGATGTGATCCAGTGATCCAGATGTGATCCAGAGTGATCCAGCTGTGATCCAGATGTGATCCAGAGTGATCCAGAGTGATCCAGCTGTGATCCAGAGTGATCCAGCTGTGATCCAGAGTGATCCAGCTGTGATCCAGAGTGATCCAGCTGTGATCCAGAGTGATCCAGCTGTGATCCAGAGTGATCGCTTGCAAAACTGTCGACACTTTCTGCCGTTCTTCGGATTAAATTCGATTAAATCAACGACATGATCTGTTGATTACTTTGATTTCAAAACTCCAGTTAAGGGCAAAGTATTCATTCGCTGCCAGATTCATGTTTCTTTTAACTGTTTCTTCTGACTTGAAGTGACGTTAAAGTTTTTGATCAATTCCTGATACGATTCTGAGAATCAGTGAAAATCTGGAGATCATCACCACATAGAAAATCCTGTCAGATTTTTTATATATTTACATTTCCTTTCAGAAAATGTGAATAAAAACAGATATTTTTGTTTTTTATGATTTGATAGATGTCTGTCTCATTTCCAGAAATAAACTTATTGTTAAAATTAAAATAACTTAATATCGAGATCTGCTGTATGAATAATTATGGGCTGTAAAAATCTGGAAAATCCACAAAATCTCAACTTCCTGTTAAAAGTTAAAATCTTTCCAGATCATAAAAAATCTCCAGAGTGATGTCAGAAGATGCTGAAACAAAGGTTGCCATGGTGATGACCAGTGTTTGATGGAAACCCACAGCATCACTTTTTCTCACCGAGCCGAAAAGTCTGAGAAAAAACATCTGAGAATAAATATCTGAAGCAAATCCAGGAAATTAAACGGTGATTGTATGAAAACCACAGCAGGGATGAAAATGAGTTGAGGCGAATATTTTTCTGATCCGTTTCAGGACGGTACCAGTAGAACCTGGACAGCTGGAACCACAGCTCTGTTCGGACCCGGTCGGTTCTGGACTCTCACCTCTTTGATCTCGTCTTTGGCCTGCTGCAGTTTGTCCGGTTTGTTGGTGAACTGCAGTTTGGCTTCGGCTTCCCGTTTCTTCTGCAGCAGCATCTGGCTGTCCTGCCACTTCTGCCACGTCTTCATGCGGTGGTCAAACACTCCCTGGACACAAACACGCTCACTTTCAGAATAAAAGCCACAGAAATTTAAAACACTTCCCCCTCAGGTTTTATTGGGATTTTCAATTCAAGGACCCAAATCTGGATCAAACTGGATATTTGTGAGAAACTTTTTCTCCCCAAACATTTTGGAACCATGCTAATTAGAAGAAGCTAATGCTAAAGAGCTAATAAGGACAAATGTAAATTGGAGCTTCATTATTCAAAAGAAAATGCAGCCATAAAAGCTGAAATATCTGCGCTAATTGACTGGCTATCAGATGGGATTTGCAAAATGGCTGCTCTGGAAGAGCCATTCATCGTCCTTGGCTCTGATTGGCTAAACCTCAAGAATGGAGATCAGGAAGATCATAGAATTGAGTTTTTGATGTCTGATGTGAAAACATAAAGAATCTAAGTGAGTCTTTAGATTTCCCTGCAGGATGTTTCCAGCGGTCGTACCTTGACGGCGCCGATCAGCCGGACGTAGTCGCCCAGTAACTCAGAGAACAGGTAGAGGTCGGCGTTGGCCTGGTCCTGGTGCAGCTGGTCGATCTTCTCCTCCACCTCGGCCAGCTGGGACAGAGCTCTGGACAGGGCCGTGTGGTCCTCGCTGTTCCCCAACATGGCCGCCGACTTGGCGAACTGCGCCGTGTTTACAGACAGCTCTGGAGGAAGAACGCAAAGTCTGATCCGTACGTCAGGACGACCTATCGACCTCGTAAAGTTCTAAATATTTCTGTTTTGATTTCCAACCAATTACAGCTAAAACTAAACTTTACTGATTTATTTCATAAAGACTCAAAAAGCTACCAGGTCATATTTTATTTTTTAGGACAAGCAACAACATCACAACAAATCTCTCAATATTGACGTTTTTAAACGCATAAAAGCCAAACTAGTTCATATGCTTTTATTTTGGTAACAGGAAGTGTACCTTTCCTGTGACAGACCAGCGACTCCACGCTGGCGTGAAGCTTCTTGAGCTGCAGGTCCAGATTCTCAAAGTGTTGCTGCTTTTCCTCGAACCACTGATGCAGAAACAAACAGAATCTGATGAAATTTCCTCCCAGTTTTCAGAACTGAATCCTGAGCAGAAGTTTTCAGCCACTGCTCTCCTTTAATGTTTAGTCTATTCTTCCTTCTATTTTAGTTTCTGCTGCCTCCTCTGTGCTTCTCCCTCATCTTTCCCTTCACATCTTTATATTCCTTCCATCTTTCTTCATTTGTCACAACTCACATTTTTCTTTTCCTATCTGATTCCTTCTTCCTGTTTCCCAGTAACTTTCCCTCCTGTCTCTTTAGCCTCTGAGTCGTCTCCATCTCTCCATCCGTCCTTTAACTTCCTTATTTACTCTCCACTCTGCATCCAGGCTCCTTTTCCTTCCTTTTCCCTCTCTGTTCATCCCTGTTTTCTTGCACTCACGGCGTCCGACTCGTTCATCTTGATGGTCATCTTGTTGACGGCGTCGGCGGCCTTGTTGACCATCCGCAGGATCCCGGCGCTGCTCAGAGCCTGGGTGTTGACGGCGCGCGGCAGCTGCAACACAAACTCAAACTTAATCCGTTTTCTGGTTATTTTGCTGATTTTTCTGAGGCTCTCGTTCTTTTATTTAATTATCATTTCCGTTTCTCTCTCCTGGAACGCTGCTGATGTTTTCTTGCTCCTAAATCAGCCACTTTATGTGCAGAGCAACTGTAGCCGCAGCAGAACCAATCAGATCAAGTGGGAAACAGGCTCATTTTTCTTCATTTTGGTAAAGTTTTACCTCTTCCCCTCCCGGCCGCTCAGATCTCATTTAGCCGGAGCGGCGGCGGCGGCGCAGAGGGGCGGCCGAGTCCCCGGGGCCTCGGTGAGGGAGGGACGGAGTAAAGTAGATCTAAATTGCGTCTCGTCCGCTCGTGTTTCATTAACCGGACCGGACGGAACGCCGCGCTCAGATCTGATGGATCTGTGACACGCAGCCATTTATCGGAGCCAGAACAATCCCGGCCGCAGTCAGGCGTCGGGTCGACAGGAACCAGGCCGGATCGGTCCGGCGACAGGACGACACGCTGCAGGCCATTAAGTGTGAGTGGAAATAAATCGGGAAACGTCGGCGGCTCTTAAAGCTGCGCTAGTTTTCACAGGATCTCTGGTTTGACCTTGTTGGGAAAAACAAAACAAAGACATCCGAGTTTTCAGCCTTTTTCAGAGCAAAGTGTTATTTATCTGCTTCTAAAAGTTAAACTCAACAAATACTGCAGTCAAATTTCACTGTACTGGTGAAGCTGATTATATTCGCTGAAGATAAAAAGCATTACGATGAAAGAAACAAAATAAATGATGGAATAAATTAATTTACTGCTGACAGCAGCAGTTGGAGGTTTTAGTACTTTTAAGCTCAAGGTTTTTAGGTATAAAGTAAAACCAGAGGCTGAGGGACGTTTGGTTCCACTTAATGATCCTCCTGCCCAAAACTCAGAGCAGGAAAATTTAATTTCATAATTTAGATTATCTGCCAGGTTTGAGTCGGGTTGAAAATGGATTATAATCCATCATCTGTCACAGTGGTTCAAGTTTGAATTAGAGAAAATAAGACATTCCAAAACTGAGCAACTAAAATGCAAAATGTTTGTGTATTAATTGGGCGAACATATAGATTATGGCCTCTAATCTAAACTCATTCATTTATTAAAATCAGCTTTTTTGCAGATAAACAATATGTTCTTAAGGGAGGATCTTTATGTTTCTGAAGAATTATTTTTAAGTTTTCATGTAAATTTTCCTAATTCTGTTATTATGAGCCTGAAACCTTCTCAGTGCTGCCCTCTATGGGTTGAACAGTGGCTACTGCAGGTGGATTTTCCTATCGGTTCTGACAGTCGACTAGTTAATGTCCATAAAAGTCTCTTATAAGAAAGAACAAAGTTGATTTTTTGCTAGTTGCTTTTTTTCTTTTTTAGAGTATCTAGCAAATCCGACAAGTTGCTAAAAATAGCAACAAAATGATGAAGTTGGCAGCATCACAGCTTTAAGTTTGTCCTGATCACAGCCCCGGTGAAACCAAAAGTTCAACTTTAAATGTCAGGAAAGGATGTTCAGCAGAAATCTGCAACCTGCAGGGCTAAAAATGACAAAAAACACAATAAATCTTTTTAAACACAATAACAAATATCGGTCTTAGAGGTTTTTTCATAAAACCGGACAGCATGATACTAAAAGTAGCAGTAATATATTTTAACCTACAGTAGGAGGAGAAAGCTCTGGCCAATAAATGCTGGTTTCATTGGACCATCTAAATCCTGACCCAGGATTCTGACTGTTTGTTTTAAAAGTTCCTGAAATGATGAACCAAACAACCCGAACCCTCCTGCATCACTGAGGGATTTTATTACCCATATTTTGTTTTGGATTGGCAGTTATTCAGCTTCCTGGGGACAGATTTCCCTCTGTAGGAGGACAGGAGCACAAATGATGACGTTTTATTACCAAGTAAAGATGGTTTTGGGTAAAATCAAACAAAATGTGTGTTTTCAATTTGGAGGTAAAGCAACAAACTTCCAATTTGGAGCTCAGACAGCAGCAGTTTGCAGGTGTTGATTTTCTGCAGTGAAGCACAACCAGCAGCAGTTTCCAAGTATTGATGCTGCTCTTTGTCTTTTTTATTAAAAGGGGCTCCAGATGAGGCAGAAATGTGGCGATAATGAGCGCGCTGCGAAAGCGTCTGATTTACCTCGGTGCTCTCCAGGAACTGCAGGACGTCAGGATCCTTCAGCAGGATGGGATGTTTGACTGTCCTCATCAGATACCTGGAGCAGGGAGGAAACACTGATCAGAAGAGGAAGAGCAGCGTTTACTCCATCTGGGTTGTGATGCAGGGCAGCTTCCTGTTTGCTCCACTGCTGCCAAGCATCCAACTTTACTTTTCAGCCATTTTCAGCTGCGTGAAGCTGGGAAACCAATAATGAGACACAAACAAGGTCACAAAATCATAAATATTCAGTTTATGACAAAAAAGAAAAATGTGTTTCCTAAATTTCCCGAGTGAGGATGTTTGTCCTCCTCATTAAGCGTTTCTGAGTGTTTGTCCATCAGCATGTAGTTCTGTCTCTCTGAGCAACATCAGCTGTCTCCGCTGACCTTCCTGCCAGTCACACGGCGTCAATAAAGGGCAGCAGAATGTCAACGCCGACCCGCCTCCTCAGTATTCGACATGCAAACAGGATGTGTGTTGTGATAATGATGGATCTAATATTTGTAGTTTAACCTTTCAGCCTTTACTGTTCTGATCTCATTGAACTTTAATACGCAGACATACAATGGCAGCATTTTTCACCTTTCTGGACAGTTTAGGTTAAAACTCAGTTTTTTATTTACACGGAAAGTATTCATGTTTTCTGCATAAGTTATAAATAAAATGTTTTCATTCAGAATATCAGCTGTGTCTGATTTCTAACAAAATAGAAATTAGTGATTGGCTGCTGATCACTTCTAGATTTGTTAAAATTGCTAATTTTGTTAGCAGCAACTATTGCTGACAAAATTAATTTAATAATGATTAGATGATGTATGTGAGGTTAGCAGCAGTTAGCCTGTTAGCACTGTTAGCAGTTAGCCTGTTAGCACTGCTGGCAAAGCGACGGTAATTAACACAATTAGCTGCTAACAAATGACTGTCAGCTGTAAACCTACTGATTTTGTCTGAGGTGCTAATTTTAAATCAAAGGAACATTTTCTGTTTCTGAATTACCAGCGTCCACAACGAGCATCTGTTAGCAAATTACCAGTAGTTCAGTGATCAGTGTTGTTATTGGGTCGTAGCAGCGCTCACCAAAATCATCTCTAGATATTAGAACTGTTAGTGTAATTAATGCTAGTAGCAGTTAAACAATTAACAGAACAAAATGTTCATAGTGCATCTCTATTTTTTAAACCGTAATTCTTTGCACTACATATTTCAAAGCCAGAGTTGTGCAGCTTTACTAAATAAAATATCAGGATTATGTTGAACAACTGATGGAAATATGTTTAGTTTTTGAAGCTTCTTTATTACTTCATAACCAAATTATTAAAATAAATATAGCAGCAGATATCACTTTTAAAATGAGTAACAAATTTAAAATAAAAACGGTTTTATAATGAACTGCATGTGTTTGTTGCTCCTCTTTGTACCTCTCTAGTGCGGATCTCCTTTTCTCCACAAACTCGTTGGATGACTGATCCTCCTTCCCAACCTTCACTTTGGTCATCCCTGCAGAAAAGAACAAATATTTAAGATATTTAACAATATTTATGTAAGAGAAAACTTTAAAAACTTCCCAACATTCTGACTGTCCAGTAAATTATTGAGAACTGCTTGTCAGGGATCAGAAATCCTCCACCAGTTTTGATGCAAAGCTGATAATCTCTGTGACTAAAAGCTCAGAACTGTCATGGTTCCAGTTCAGCTTACCCACAATGCTTTTCTCCGGTGCCGGGGGAACGATGTACCCTATGTGCAGGTACTTGGAGGCCAGTTTACTGTGCAGACCCAGAAAATCACTGAAACGCCTTTTAACTGCGAAGTCTCTCTGCTTAAACAGAGACATGGAGGTCTGGGAGCGACAGACACAGAAATGATTTTAAAAGCTTTTAAAATCATTTAGGCAGTTGGTTCTGTGACGGAGCCAACCACAGAACATCATGGAGGTCTGGAAACATGTTCACTGAGCTAAGCAGTGGAGATTTGCAGAGAGAAGTTATCAAAACGCATCTTTTTGATCAAAGCTTTCCTAAAATAAACCGTCGTCTAACAGAGTGATGCAGGCTAAAAATAAAACATTAGTAGGTAAAAATATGTCATCAAGGAGCATTTTTCTGCACCGAGGCTCTGATTTGACCTGGAGAAGGGATCATGTTGAAGGAACTCACCTTCGTTGTCACCTTGTAGGCCATGTATGCGTTCATACCGTCACCTGAAACACAGACACCAGCTTGAACGGCTCTGCTTGTTTCATGACACGATGCTTTAAAACAGAAACTGATGAATAGAATAACCGGCGCTTGAAGGAAGAATAGAGTTCAGTTAACAGGTTAAGCTGAATATTAAGCGTTTATTTGCTGCTGCTGATTTAATGTTTAAACTCATTAAATCAGCAGGACCAAGTTGAGTGTTAGTGAACATATAAAAACTCCAGTTCAACACATCTTAAGGCTTTTATGAAGGAAATTTAACATGCGTTTCATGACAGAAATGTACTGAGTGTGTCATGGATTTGAACCAACACACACTGAAAAAGCTAGCAAGCAAGGTTGCATCAGCAGCTGGTCACAAAACAAAACATCTGTGTGTGACTCAACATTTGGCAAGACAAAAAAATTCCCACAATTAAAAGAAATTTTATAAAATACATGATTATATGAGATTAAATAGTCATGTTACAACAAAATCCAAGAAATTTGATTAATATATTGAAGGAAACGTTACTTTTTCATGAGTATGAAACGTTAAGGCATTAATTTTAGATCCAGAAATTTAAACTTTGCAAGATGTGTGAACAAACGTGTAGGATGTGTGAACAAACAATGAAGCTTTTGCTGCTCTGTGGGAAATGTAACTGCAGTGACACGTGGAACCTCCAGGTGGCTCCACTGCATCAACGCGCTTGTTCTGCCCAACTCCTTGTTTCATCTCTTAATGTTTGGACATGCCGAGTTATTTCAGAAACACTTCATCAGCGAGAACCCACCAATTTTCTCAGGATCTGACACCGATATGTGGATGTCGAACGAATCTCCACCGTCTTCCTCTTCAATCTACAGGAAACAGAAATAAAATACCTTCAGTTTTTATATGAAACTTTTATTGTAAGCTTTTCATATTTAAAGTAAAACACTGTGTGTGTGTGTGTGTGTGTGTGTGTGTGTGTGTGTGTGTGTGTGTGTGTGTGTGTGTGATTACTTCGTCAAAGGAGGAGTGTGTGAACATGTCGTCATGCGTGTGGCCAATGCGAGGCGTTATCACGGAGGTTGGGGGCGTGATGGGAGTGATGGCGGGCGACGGGCCGTCAGACAGCAAGACGTCTCTCTCTGGACTGTCCAACGACACTTCCTCTGTAGCCTCTACACACACACACACACACACACACACACACACACACACACACACACACACACACACACACACTGATCACTTGGTCATTTCCCTATTTAAAAGAAAAACAGCAGCTCTCATTGACAACATGGCTCATAAATATCCCATGATATTTTTATTATCCACTTTTTTTTTTATCAGAGTAAGAAATTAAATGGGATGAAATTCAGATGGTATCATAACCTTGAACAAACCATCCAATACAATAACAATGTGTTAAAATATTGTATTAACATCATTAACAGTAATGATGTATAATGTAAGTTCTGAATACAGAAACTACAAATAATTTTACTTAAGAATAACTTTTCTTCAATGTTGGTGACGAGACAAAATGAAAAAAAAACTAAAACTGTTCAATGTTTCCTTCTGCTGCCTACAGGGGGCGCCACAGCAGATAGTGGCGCCCCCTGATAGTGGCGATAGTGGCGCCCCCTGATAGTGGCGATCATTTCGCTATATTCCACCTCTTCTTCTTCTTCTGTCTCTTGGTCACTGACCTTCACTGGAAACCCTCCAGACTTTGAGCAAAGATAAACTAAAATAACCTATTTGTTGTTATTTTTATCCTGTGTTCGTACCTGCGAACAGATCCTCGTTGTCATCATCAAAAAACGAGTCCAGCTTGGGTCCGTTTGCGTTGGTGCTGACGTCCACAGCAGACAGACTGGCTGCTTGTGACTAAACACACAGACACAGAGACTTAAAGCAACTTAAAAACCAAACGAACATGCCGGGCTCTTTACCTCAGAGCTGAACTGAAACCCAAACCCAGGATCTCTGAAATAATCCCAGAAACTATTTACTAGTTTGGTTTGTGCTTTTTAAACTCGTCTGATTTGGATGAAAATAAAGGTAAAAATGTTCATGATGAGATTTTCAGAACAAGTGAAGTTAACTTCTTTATAAACAGCATTACTAAAAACCCTTTTATTCAATTTTAAACCCTAATTGTAATGGAAACATTTCATCAAACTGCAGAGATTAGAACTGATCAACATTTTCTATAATCATATTTTTAAGCTTAAACAGGAAGTTTCATTTCGTTCCATTTTCTGTCATTTCCCTAAACTCCAGAAGAAGGAAAGTTTCCCTGATGACTGTAATAATTGGGGAAAATGAAACAGTAGTTTTTAGCAGCGCAGTATTAATATTGATCCTCCATGTCAAACAGTCTGTTTGTTCTCAAGCAGCTGATGGATCTTAGTTGAAGATCCATCTTCAGACAACAAACCAAAGCAGTTAATGACTCCATGTGGTCATAATGTTTCTTTACTAAATCAGAGGCAGCAAGGTTTTCAACACAGGTCAAATTAGGTGTTTATGAGCATTAAATGGTAGAAATGTGATGTGAATCCCTGGAGTTCGAGTCGTTGATGCGGTTTCCTCCTGAAGGAGCAGGAAGAAGCTGCAGCCGATTCTCAGAGCAGGCGAAGTTCAGAACATGACCGAACACAGGAGAGCGAGACAGTCAGACAGAAACACCTTCAATTCTCATTTATTCACACAGATACACGCACTCGCATCAGTCACAGCTAAAACATCATCCAGGCTTCATCACCCAGAAAACCAGCGTTAGTGCAGGAGGAGAATCTGATTTATTCCTCATACAACATGAGGACCTCATGAGAAAACATGAGAAAACTTCTTCCTGCTCTGCAGTGAGCAGCAGAGAAGAAGCTGATAAACCTTCCCATCGTGTGTCATCCATCCTGCTGACACTCGGAGCGCTGCGGCTCCTAGGGAGGTGAAAAGGATCTGTAAGCAGATCCAAGTGAGCCTGTTTTCCACTCGGTGAGAGAGATATGAGGAGACGAAGCCTCAGTTTGGAGTTTAATCTGAAGCAGCTGATGGATGAGATGCTGCAGGAAGCTGCAGCTTTCTGACTAACCATGAGAAATCCTCCAGCTGCAGCAGATCCAGAACCTGCTGCAGCTGGTTCTGACTAAAGCCAGGAAGATGGAGCACACCACCCAGTTCTACACCTCCCAGTTCTACACCACCCAGTTCTACATCACCCAGTTCTAGTTCTACACCACCTAGTTCTAGTTCTACACCACCCAGTTCTAGTTCTACACCACCTAGTTCTAGTTCTACACCACCCAGTTCTACAGGGCTTCACTGAGACTTTAAACTCCTGCTGGTACTTTAGAAATTGATGCTGTTGTTGGATCAACCTGCTGGTTCTGGTTCTTCTCTCCACCCAGAACCAAACATGGAGAAGCAGCAATCAGCTTCTATGAACAGCCAACAAACTTCCAGAAAACTGAAAAACAGCTGAAACACAGAGTTCCTTTAAACCAGGGCTAAAATCCCGTCTGTTGAGTTGCTTTTGAAACCTAAATGAAACTTTGAGCAGGATATCTGATCCGTACTGGTGACTTTGATAATGGCACTCCTTTTTGTTTTTACTGGTTTTTCAGTTGGTGACTGTGTTGTGTTTTTATAACTTTTTTATTTCCATGTTTTTATGATGTGAAGCACTTTGAACTGCCCTGTTGCTGAAATGTATCAGACTAATGAACTTGACTGATCGATAAAAACAAGATTCGAGTGAAAACCTAAATCCATGCATCTCACAGTCAGAACGGGACATTTTTCATTTTCCTCCAACAGTTTTCTAATTTCTACTAGTAAATGCTGAACTTGCAGAATGCATGAATTCATTTGCTCCTTGTTTGTGTGTTTAGATGTGTTGCTTTGCAGAAACTGCAACAGATTCCAGCTCAGTAGCATTTTTAAGACTAATGTAAAAACATTATTTTATTTCCAATTTAATTTTGCTAGTTAACAGAAAAATATTCCCAGATTTATTTTATGCCATAAAAAGCTTATAAATGAAGTCAAACTGCAGCAGTTAACAGTTACTAAACCACAGAGTGACACAACTCTCCTGCTGAGTCAGTGCAGGACCAACATGCTGCGTCCTTCGCCTGAACCCAGCAACGCTCCTGCGATGCAGCTGAAACTAAACTGCAGCATCGTTTTTCGTGCTGCTGCAGATGGCAGACGTGTTGCTGGGTGTGTCTGGCAGCAGGTGGAGGTTTCTCAGGTCAGATTAAAAACATCAAGCCTGGAGAGGCAGAAACGGAACCGGCCTCACAGCTGGAGTCCAGGAAGAGCAAAGGAAGGACAAGACGGACAGATTAGCTGACAGGACATAAAAGAGGAGAGGATGAACGACTGAGGATGATAATGAGTGATGATAACGGTCGACTTCCTCACTTCTTACTCAGCAATGCGAGAAGGAAACACAGGAGGAAACGTCACGTTAAAAGCAGAATAAGAATGAAAATGAGTGAAATCATTGAGAAACAAACTGATGAAGCAAGAAACACAAAAACTGATCTGAAGGTTCAAACAAATTAGAAAATAAACATTTTATATCATCTAAAACAGAATCTGTTGTAATCTGGGTCCTGAAGTTCAGAGATAGTGACATAATATTATTTATTATTATTTTCATCAACTTTTTGTTTTTGGTGAAACACCTGTTTCAAAAAGAGCTTTATAAACAAATCTGACATTGATAAAACTTCACAATAAACTATATATTTAAATTCATTTTGAGCTCAAATTATAAATGTTTAGTTGCAGTCCTAATTTTTTTGACTAAGGCTGCAATTATTTTGCCAATTGATTGTTCTAATGATTAATCAAGTACTCAAATAAAAATTATTTAAAATTACCTAATCTTATTTTATACAATATCAAAAATGTAAAAATGCAAAATAAACAATTCAAATCCTTTTTTTAAATAAGAATTGATTTTGCGTAAAATGTAATAAAGCAACTGAAGCATCTGCAGCTAAAAAAACACTAAATAAATACTGAAATGACTTAACATGAATACAGTGAAGGCTTGTGCTGCACAAAAATAGCTTGTACCTTTTCAGCAACATATAGAACTTATTTCAAATAAATAATTCTTAAATACTGATTATTTCTCATTACACACCAGACAAGGGAAAAATTTCATGTTATAAATGTTCCTATAATAAAGCAAAACATTTTCTGTGCTTCATATTTGCAGCAATTCTTAATCCAATAAGAACCCAGCTGAACAGGAGGAAACAGGAGGAAACAGGAGCTAACAGGAGGAAACAGGAGCTAACAGGAGGAAACAGGAGCTAACAGGAGGAAACAGGAAGTAACAGGAGCTAACAGGAGCTAACAGGAGGTAACAGGAGCTAACAGGAGGAAACAGGAGGTAAACAGGAGCTAACAGGAGCTAACAGGAGGTAACAGGAGCTAACAGGAGGAAACAGGAGGAAACAGGAGCTAACAGGAGCTAACAGGAGGTAACAGGAGCTAACAGGAGGAAACAGGAGGTAACAGGAGCTAACAGGAGCTAACAGGAGGTAACAGGAGCTAACAGGAGCTAACAGGAGGTAACAGGAGCTAACAGGAAGTAACAGGAGCTAACAGGAGCTAACAGGAGGTAACAGGAGGTAACAGGAGGAAACAGGAGGAAACAGGAGCTAACAGGAGGAATCACAGGTTAATCAGAAATGGACCTGAACCCGGTCCATCTTAAAGGGAATAAAATGTCCTTCATCCATTTAATGAGGCTTTGTGAAGTAGCGACACTATAAACACACACACACACACACACACACACACACACACACACACACACACACACATCATTGAATAGCTGCTGTAAAACTTGAGGAAGACAATCATCACCAGTAATGAAATCCAAAGTGCTGACAGGACAAAAGAGGACAACCAGCCTCTATCTGTGTGTGTGTGTGTGTGTGTGTGTGTGTGTGTGTGTGTGTGTGTGTGTGTGTGTGTGTGTGTGTGTGTGTGTGTGTGTGTGTGTATATAAAATGCTGCATGCTGTGTGGTTTGTTTCTGAACTGGCATTAAGTCCTGATAACCCATTTCTGCTCCTGATTCATTTGTTTGTCACCGTTTGTGTTTCTGCAGCAATAAAGTTTTATCCAAACCTCTGCAGGAGCCGCGGTTCCTGTTCAGGACACGGAGCATCATGTCAACTGGACCAAACCTCAGAGGACTGGTTCTGATGTGTTGAATCCTTTCCATGCAGGATTAAAGCAGATCTGAAGGATAAAATGGGTCCAACCGCCCAGGAAGGCGACCCGGTCCAGCCTAACCCTGACCCTAACCCCTAACCCTTCCCCTAACCCCACTTCTTACCCTAACCCTGTCGGGATCACAAATTTTCCTGGACGATAAATAGCTCCAGTAATTGATGTGATCATCCATAATGTTGTCATTTTGACACCTTTCTTGAGTCACCTATTGGAAACTCAGAAACGTTGCTGAATCGACTGTTTTGTATCTAAACAGCAAAAAAAAATATTTTTAAAAAAGTGTTTAATTCAGAAACTAGACAGGAAAAAAGTCCAAACTGTTAGAAATAAAACCAAAGCTGGACCTCCAGCTGCTTCTGCTCAGCTCAGGTTCTGAAAGTCCAATTCAAGCATTTCTGAACCACCAGGTGAATCTATAAACTTGCTCTCCTAAACATAACAGCAAGTTTGTGATTTCACTTCTTCATCCCATAAAGCTGAAGGGTCATAAACCCTGTTGCTGTTGGTTTCTTCATGCTGACCTCACAGAGCAGCACAAAGCTCATCCAGCTTCACTTCAGAGGAGATTTGACTTTAAAAACATCAAATTCAAACATCTTCAAGCAACAAGAAGAATCCTCTCCCCAGGAGAAACACGGTTCCTCTCTGAAGCAGCAGGAAACTCCAGCCTTCAGAGGCTGATGATATTTTTATAATTATTGTTTATAGTGTGACGAAGATGTTCAGAACCCAAACCAAACCCAGATCAGCCACGTTATCGCTCAACGGTCCCTCAGATAGAAAGGCAACATCCTTCAACTTTCCCTCAGAAACAGCCAAGCTTTGGTTTATTCATGGGCCAAAAGTCAAAGATTATAACTTTCAACAGCAGCGCTGTCATTTACACACCAGCTTCAGCTTCAAGGTTTTATTTTCTTTCTGACTGTTAAACTCGTGTCTTTATTCTTTAATGTTATTTGTCTTTCATTATTGTTGGAAATAAAAACCAGGTTTCAGAACAGCAGAATGCTACATTTTAGCTGTTTCTTTTTTCCTTGCCTCCCCTGAAGGCACCACCACGCTCACCTGTGTGACCGTCACCTGACCAGCGCGTTTATTCGCAGGGCGTTTTGACCCTAATGGGCTCCTGTACGTGTGGCAGCGAAGGCCACTTTTGGAGATAAAATCCCGTTTCTCCTCTAGAACGGATCGGAACCAGAACTCCTTCATCCAGCCTGGATTTCAGCGGAGTTTCCTCTGCTGTCAGCCGGAGCCATCACGCCCTGCCCTCGGCCTCCCCTCCATCGCCCCGCCGCCTCCCGCCCGCCTCCCTCCCGTCTCACCTCCGGGGTGGCGGCGCTCGGTTCCGGGAACAGGTCCTCCCCGTCCTCCACCTCATGGAAGTCGGTTCGGTCCGGTGGAGGGTCCCGGGCTGTGTCCGCCATGTCTCTGCTGCGAACGGAGATCCAAACACCGAGGAGCTGATGGGAAAGAGGAGGAGCAGGAGTCAGGAGGTTCTCCTCCTGCGTCATGTGACTGTCCTGCTGGGAACCAGAGAGGAGTGGGAAAACGAAGATGGCTCACTCTGATCTAACTTTCATTTCATTCTTAGCAAATGAACAATGGTACAGAAGTAAAGCCAAGTGCATATAATAAAGGGTTTGTCACAACATCTAAATAAAGATGAATGAGAAGCAAATTTTCTGATTATTTAAATCCAAAATTTTAACAGAAATAATATGTTTTAAATTTGTTTCTTTCTAAATTATTACATCATTTATTTCATCCAAAGAAATGGGTGAACTGTTAAAGAGCACTATTTACAACTATGACATTATAATGTTCTTTCCAACTTTTTCTGTAAGGAGACTTTGCAAATGTGACCAAATTATTACAGAATGAGAACATTGAATGTTCCTTAATTAAATGTTCAGCACTTTCTCCCTGTCACTGATAGGAAGAGTGAAATCAGAATCAGCTTTTCTCACCACGCTGGTGAACCCAAGCAAGGTTCATTCTGCTTTGAGCTCAGTGTAAAGATGTTTACAATATAAACATGTACAGATATAAAAATATTACATTTTGTTCATCTTGTAAACATATGCATATATGCTGTGTTTTGTAGAAAGAGTTTGTGTCCAGGATGTGTGGGTTCCCAGTCCATGTTAAAGTTGAACCTCATTATTAATTTAACCCAAATGTTTCTGCAGAGGTTGTGGCTGGATGGTCAGATCATGAAGAAATGAATTGAGGGACAGACAGAAATGTTTGTATAGACAGAAAAACGCATTGAGATCAGATCCCTCCCTGATCCTCCATGTGGAATGAATCCGATTAGCTGCATAAAGGAAAGTTTTCTGGAAGTTAACAGTTTCATATTTAACCTCATCCCATAACTTTTGTCTTTTTCATTTCTAATTTAATGATTTCTTTAGCTAGAACATGCCGACCATATCCAAGATGTGTTAAAAACGTTCTCTTGTAATCAGTTTTATAATGTGACAACCGTTTCATTACTTCTGAATTCAATAATGTTATAGACGATCTTTGTTCCGTAACGTCCTAACGGTAAAGGTATTTCCGCCGGACCTTTTTTAGGGAAGCACAAACATCCGTCTGGGCAACTGACGGAAACTGTCAACTATGTGTTGAAATAGTTAAAATAATCGGGTTTAGTTTTTCAAAAGCGTTTCTTAAGGCGAAGATAAATCCCTCGGACACATCCACCAGGCGGATGGACCGGGAGCTTGACGCGCTGTCGTCAGCGGAAGTTGTTTTTGTAGTTCGGACGGAGCATGTATGCTAGCTGGGAGACAGCTGACAGCTGGAAGAGCATGTTAGCTAGCTGGGAAGCAGCTGCTCCCGGTGAGCAGCAGCCGGGGAACCCGGTCCAGGAGGAGGACATGGACCTGGACCTGGACCTGGAGTTGGCTAAAATGACGATCGAAGGTAAAACCTCGGCGTTCATGTCAGAAGAATGTGTTTGCAGTCCGCTTCCGGTTCCGTTTGATATCTAGAGAAGAAAAAAAACTTCCAGACTGTTGTTGACATTTTCTCATCATGTCGTCAAACTGAACGTAAACAACTTTTGCCAAGTAGAATTAAAGACTTTGTTAAAAAAAAAAAAAAAAGCTTCATCACGTTTCTTCCTGATTCTATTAAATTAATTTTAATGTGTTAAATAAGTAGCAGAATCTCTGCTTCGTTTTATGGATACAATAAAGTTTCACTCATTGGAAAATGTTTCCAAAGATGCTCATAAACATGAACTGGAAACTTAATGAAACTTGTGAACATTATTTCTGGTAATATTTGTGATTATGGCACACAACTAAAGAAAACCTCCGATCCAGTTAATCAGACCAATAAATACAACATTCTCAGTACAGATGCATGAATGTTATTGCTTACAAATTTATAACTGTAGGCGTGCAAGGTAATTGTGAAAGAAATTACTTTATCTGTCATGTATGGAAGATTTAGTGGAAGAAAGAAAAAAGGATGAACAATAAAGTCAGATAAAAGCAATGTTTTTCCTTTATCTGGAAATTGATTGGTTGAACCGTCCGTCTCGTCCCAGACCTGATCTTTAAGGTCCAGGCTGTGCAGACGGACAGCACCACGACGGACACCGGCGTCAACACGGAGCCAGACTGGGAGAGCCAGGTGGCCGCCGTGTTCCAGTTCGGCTCCCAGCTGAAGGAGCGCTACGAGCGTCTGCAGAGGGAGCAGGAGGAGGAGAAGGAGGTGCAGGAGAGGCACAAAGTTCAACTGAAGAAGAGGAGGGAGGAAGGCATCCGGCAGCACCAGGTGACCCAGACCGGCTTCGACCCGCCGCTGCTGCTGTTCTGCTGGGTTCTGACCGTTTGTTGTTCCAGGCTCTGCTGGAGAAACTGGAGTCGCTGCGGGTGAAGCTGCAGCTCAACAACTCCAAGGCCACCAGGAAAAACTTCGAGAGCAAGAAACGGGAGCTGCTGACGGAGAGGAACCGAGCGGAGGAGGAAAGGAACAGGTGAGGAGCCGTCTGAGGTCCCGTCTGCTTCCTCAAAGTTTCCTTCTGCAGGTGGAACTGTTTACAGACGGGATCCGGTCTGCAGCAGCGGGACAGTCTGCAGCAGCAGCAGGACAGTCTGCAGCAGCAGCAGGACAGTCTGCAGCAGCAGCAGGACAGTCTGCAGCAGCAGCGGGACAGTCTGCAGCAGCAGGACAGTCTGCAGCAGCAGGACAGTCTGCAGCAGCAGGACAGTCTGCAGCAGCGGGACAGTCCGCAGCAGCGGGACAGTCTGCAGCAGCGGGACAGTCTGCAGCTGCAGGACAGTCTGCAGCAGCAGTGGGACAGTCTGCAGCTGCAGGGCAGTCTGCAGCAGCAGGACAGTCTACAGCAGCAGGACAGTCTGCAGCAGCGGGACAGTCTGCAGCAGCAGCGGGACAGTCTGCAGCAGCAGCAGGACAGTCTGCAGCAGCAGGACAGTCTGCAGCAGCAGTGGGACAGTCTGCAGCTGCAGGGCAGTCTGCAGCAGCGGGACAGTCTGCTGCACTTCCGATGAACAGTCTGGCTCAAATCTTAAAGAAAGAATCACTGATCCATGTTTTTCACTACCGATGTCTGGGGTTTAATATCCGCTGATACAGAAAACCAACTTCATTTACTTAAAATGTTTCTGTTTTTAAACGCCAACATAAATATCCTGAATTATATTTGATAAACTAAATATTTAAACACTAAATCAACTTCATTCTGTTCAGTCAGCAGAAAAACAGACAATATAGAATATGTAATAAAGGAACACAAACTGACTGAAATAAAAGGTTAATAAGTTGCAATTAACCTTTCAAGTGAGTCAGAAAGTGAAATTATGCTGAATAAAAATCATGTAAATAAATAATAAAGCATAGAATTAGACTGAATAGATTGGGCACATTTTCTCTGAAACCCAATCTAGAATGTTTTTCACTATCGGGATCGATATCAGATCAGTGCATCTTTAGTCTTCAAACAGATTTTCAAGTAGATGTATGTCTGGACTTTGACTAGGCCATTCTGACACAATGCTTTGATGTGAAGCCTCACGGTGTAACCATGTGACCCGGCCTGTTCCTCCGTCAGACTGGCGAAGGAGCTGGAGGAGAGCGACAGGAAGCTGTCGGCGCTGGACGAGGAGCAGGGCGAGGAGCAGCGGCGCTGGGCGGAGGAGCTGCAGCAGCTGAGGAGGGAGATGGAGCGGCTGAAGAAGGAGGCGGCCAAAGCCCAGCTGCAGGCCCTCCGGGACGAGATCGCCGCCGTGGAGAAGCAGAGAGACGGCGCCATGTCCCGCATCGAGGCCTGGCTCAAAGAGGTCCGGATGCTTCACTTCTCCCAGCTGTACAATCAGAATTGGAGCCAGGATGCAAGAATTATTGTTTATTTTTGGAAATAATTCCGAATATTGGCAAACAAAAAGAAAAACAATCCTGATTCATCAAAAAGCAAAAACTGGTTAATTGATTTAATGAGTTAATCGGCCAGAACTGCTTTCTGTACTTAATCTGCATATTTAATCTGCTCAAATTAAATGTGACAGATTTTGTCAAAAAGACAAAATGTGTCAGCATGTACTGTCTCTTTAAGAGACAGTGTCTCTTTAAGAGACAGTACATGCTGAAGGTTTCCAGCAACACTAAAAAAAACTAATTTTTATCAAGAATTCCTTGTTTAATTTCTAGAGCAACAATTTACTACAAAAATATAAGACAAAACTGGATGGAGGGTAACTTTCAGTGAGACAGAATCTTATTTTAGGTCAATAATTCCTTAATATTCTCGTCCCACTGGCAGATTATTTCAGAAATAATCTAACTTTTTTATCAATATTAAGGAATTATTAGCCTAAAATAAGCTCCTCTATCTCACGAAAAGTTCGTTTACTTGAAATAAGACAAATTTAAGATATTTGCACCAGAAACTAAAAGTTTTTTTTTTTTTTGTGTTTTTGCCATTCAGAAACATCCAGACTTCCTAAATGCTGTTCTTTCATCCCTGCTTGTCTCCTCTAGGTGGCGCAGTACCTGAACACCCTGCGGGTGGAGTTCCCTCAGCAGTACCACCACGACCGGGGGAAGTGGGAGAAGAAGGAGGGTCTGGTCCGGAAGAGCCAGGCGGAGCTGCAGAGCCGCTTCCAGGAGGTTCTGCAGCAGCTGCAGCAGGGTCGCGAGTTGGACTCCCTGCCCAGGATCAACGTGCCGACGCTGCCGCACGTCCCCACGGTGAGACGCTCGGTCCTGAACGGGGAGGAAATGTTGGAACTCCAACAAGACATGAACCTGTTCAATCCGACTCCAACGTCTGGCGCCCCCCGGTGGGGCACCCGGCGGCCTCCTGGGGGCGCCGTCCCAGCTCCTGTCTGACTAACTCAGCGTTCCTGTCTCCTCAGGCCGACCTCAAGTTCAGACAGGTGATGCAGGCGGTGACGCAGCCGCCCCCCCAGTACCCGCTCTACCAGCCCCCCCTCCCACACTACTACCCGCCCCGCCACAGACACCCCCACCCGCGCCACCCCCTGCACCGCGGCGCCTTCCACCCTCCTCCTCACATGCACTACCCCCCTCCTCACCACCAGGCTCCGCCCCCTTTCCACACCCCGGCGAGGGCGACGCCCCCTCCCAGCCTGTCCCCGTCCCCGCCGGTCCAACCCGTGGGCCCGTCCCCGCCCCCCGCCGCGCCGTCGGCCCCGGCGGAGAAGCTGGAGAAGGTTCTGGAGAAGCTGGGGGCCCGGTTCCCGCAGTGCGGCAAGCCGCAGCTGATGTCGCTGCTGCAGCAGGTGAAGAGTTCCCGCGGGACGCTGGCCGGGATGTCGGTGGAGGACCTGATGGAGCAGGTCGGCTTCAAGCTGAGCCAGAGCGAGCGCTCGGCGCTGGGGCCCATCGGCCGGCCCGCCCCGGGGCCCATCCAGAGGCCCCCGCCCCCCGCCGGGCCCCGCAAGCTCTGCCTCATGTGCCAGAACCATGTGGACCCGGAGAACCGGCACCCGCTGTCCTGCTCACACACCATCCACAGAGACTGCATCCAGATGTGGCTCCAGTCCAGCAAGAACAACTCCTGTCCCTTCTGTCCGGGCCAGTAACGGACCGGACCGGACCGGACCGGACCCGGACCGGACCGGACCCGGACCGGACCCGGACCAGACCGGACCCGGACCGGACCCGTATTGGATGGCTTTTCGGTTCTGTTTCTTTGAATTTTTATTTCATGTTTTATGTTTTGATTCCAGTTTTTCATTTGAACCCAGAAGCCCTGAAGATCAGTGACCTTATTGATGTCACTAATTCGTTAATAAATGATCAACTTTAACAAGAAAAAGATCCATTCTGGTGATTTCTGATCGGTTTTAGATGAGCTCAGGTTTTGGACCGGGCAGCGTTTTAGCTCCATATCATGTTATCATTTATTCCCTCATCAAACAAACCTGGACTATTCAGAGAAATGCTTTCATCTCCATGGCAACTGTTCAGTGGGAAATCACCTGGGTGGATCTAACCCAGCAGAACATCACTTCCCTCCTCGGTTCCTTCAGACTAGCCAGCAGCAATTAGCAAACACCTGGTGGATCAGCTGAGCTCATTATAGGAGCAACTGGTCAGAGCAATGCTAGTAAAAACATTCAAGGGTCAATAGAGAAGCCATGTTTGACTTCCTGAAGGCAGAATAGGAGCTTCTTAAAGAGACAGGCTTCATTTCAAAGAGTCAAATTACTTTTAAGTCATGTTTGATATTTAATATAAAACATAACTTTAATGTAACTGAATGTGAAAATCCTGATTCGTGTTCAGAGAATCAGTTTCTATTGTGAGGACTTGTTAGTATGCTGCCCCCTGCTGACCAACAGAGAGAAACTCCGTGGCATCGAGTTTCATTAGGACCTAAATCTGTTTCTTCTTTAATTCAATGGAAACATTTTCGTTTCCGTTTCAGCTGAGCTTCCAGTTTTTGCTGTTAAAGATGGCCGCCGTGTGTTTAACGCTCCTGCTCTGTGTGTGTGTGTGTGTGTGTGCGTGTGTCTGTGTCTGTGTGTGTGTGTGTGTGTGTGTCTGTGTGTGGGTGTGTGTGTGTGCGTGCGTGTGTGTGTGTGTGTAGGTGTGCATTTGTGTGTGCGTGTGTGTGTGTGTGTGTGTGTGTGTGTGTGTGTGTGTGTGTGTGTGTGTGTGTGTGTGTGTGTGTGTGTGTGTGTGTGTGTTATGGATCGGCTCGTCTCCAGGGTCTTGCTGATGCTCTGCTGTGTCTCCTGTGGCAGCTCTAATGTCGGTGTGATTTACAGACCGCTGGACAAACAAGCATCATTACTGCAGCCTGTAAACGCGGCCCTGACTGACTGCTTCCAAAATGCGGAGTGGGGACCCTCAGGGTCCCTTACGAGGCTCCCGCCGGACCCCTGCATGAAACGGGAGAGTTTTATTTGACTGTTAATTCACCAGAGGGTTGAGTCTGGATCTGTGATCCAGGATGGAGTTAAAGGGAACGTCGGCCATAAAACACACCTGTAAAAACCAAACGGGGAGAAACGAGAAACGCCTCCTCTGATCGGCCACTTTGGGTAATTGAGCCCTCAGAGTCTCATTTCCTCACATAACAGGAGGATCAGGGAGTTATTTACTGCTGCATCTTTAAACCTGGGGAGAGAATCATTATTTGGAAAAGAAAAAACTGATTTTCTCATTAACTGAGCAACTGGCCACTGACAGACCCAGGGGTGGGCTAAAGGGGCCAAAGGACCTCGCTGTTGTTTGATAAACCCGTAAAATATCTGATCTTTTCATTTAGTTTTACTTCTTCCATTCCTTCTTCACATAGACCAGAGATCTGCAGCCATTTTGCCTCTGAGCTAAATAAACAAAATTCAGAGTCTGAAATGTCATGTGACCTTTCAGATCTAAAGTTTTCCTTCTATCATAAAACCTTTAAATGATACATTTTCTTCTATGAGATGTTGATATTTATGGAAAATATCAACAAACTCATTTTTCCATCCTGATAAGAAAAACAATCACAAACATATTCCAAGCAAATGTTCGTGCCATTCTACTTTGAAAGTTTAAAAATTAATCTGCTACTTTATTATTAAAAATCTTTAGACAAAAAGTCATCAAGACCCGGCGTGGAACATCCAAAGAGCCACTTGTGGCTCTGGAGCCTCAGGTTGCAAACCGCTGACAGAAACCAATGGATGTAGATGTTAATGTCAGCATCTTCTTAGTTTATAAACTCATTTAAACTTATTTCTGATGTTTTCCTGCAGCAGATTCTTGGGTTTGCTGGATGTTCCAGGCTTGGAGTCGTTAAAGATCTGCAATAAAAACATCCAGAGTTTCAGGAAAGTGCAGAGAAATCGATGGCAAGTTTGAGATCAACGTTGTGCAACATTCAGCAGAACATCTGCAACGATCAGAGTCTGAAGAGGAATATAATTATGTTAATAGTTAAAAATGATGTTTGGTTGGTTCGCACTAAGATATGATTTAACCTAAACGAAATGGACTGGGCCAAATGGGTCCATCTGACCTAGAGGTCAGGAAGGAATTCAGATTTGGAGAGACGTGGAAGAACAATCACTAAAGAGAGGAAAGATGTTAGTTTAAGTTGTTGTGCAAGAAAGTTCTGGCTCCTGTTCGGCTGCAAAGGAACCGGGTCGGAGCCCGAGACTTGGGAAAGATTCTCTGTTGGACAGATAAGGAACAAACAACTCGACTAATTGTTCTCTGATGATTTGACTCCAGGACGTCAAACCATAAATCCAGAGTCCAAACTGAGCCTGACTGGAGGATGAAAACAAACCGCTTTACGGCAGGCAGCGTGTTCTGATCCGGGCGGGTCGGGAGCAAAACAAGGATCTGCTGCTGGGCCCTGAAGCACAATGCGGCCCCCTGCTGGCCCTGCAGAGGAACTACAGGAAACAATTATATAAAGACGTGACTTGGATCAATATTTCGGGATGTCACGATGTGGATGCTTCACTAAATGCAATGACAAAAGCAAAGGAATAACACAAAGACAGGCGCAGAATAAGAAACATGCATTAAAATTAGTCTGACATATAATAAAATCATCTACTTGAATGTTTATGAGGGAGTATTGATAAGAAATAAATCAAAGTTCAGCAGCATAAAAAAGCCTAAATAAATTGATCTTTATAATATAAACTTGTATTGTAATTTCATTCACTCTTTCTCTGCAAATTGTTACAAATTCAAAAACAACAAAATAAAAGCAACATTTTCTATGAGGTTTGTGTAATTTTATGAATAAAATCTGAAACTAATGTGAAGTATTCCCACGGTTTGAATTCCTGCAGGTTGGACCTTCAAGCAGAGGAAACGCAGCTGAGCTTCACATCCTGATTCAGTTCAGTGGACCCAGTGGACCAGAATCAGCAGACGATCCAAACCAACAGACTGTGACATAAACAACGTTTACAGATGTTAGTTTTCACCTCGACAATCTCCCCAAATTCTGCAACTTGTGCATCTTTTTCTACCAAACTTTTTCTTTCCACTCAACTTTCCATTGATATGCTGGGACGTCCTGCAGCCGGGCCTTTTGGTGACGTTTCCTCTTTGTGGATCTTTGTTCTCTAGCAGCTAAATGTTCTTCTGAAATGGTTATTTAGTTTGGAGAAAAATATTTAACTTGCTAACTAAATGTTTAGCTAGCAGGCTAAGTGTTTAACTTGCTAACTAAATGTTTAGCTAGCAGGCTAAGTGTTTAGCCTGCTAGCTAAACACTTATATTAACTGAATGTTAATATATTTAAAATATTTATCTCCAAACTAAATATTGAATATGTAAGTTAAATATATAGCTAGCAAGCTAACATGTAGCTTGCTAGCTATATATTTAGCTTGAAGCTAAGTATTTAGCCGTGATGACCGGTTTGGAATCTTGGAACAGAAACAAAACGTTTCCTGCTGACATAACGTTCAGTCCTGGACAAAATGTGAATGTAGAGTTTGATCTGAATATTAAATGTGTGTGTGTGTGTGTGTGTGTGTGTGTGTGTGTGTGTGTGTGTGTGTGTGTGTGTGTGTGTGTGTGTGTCTGAAGGCCTCGCTGGAAGATGAATGGTGTTTATCAGTGCGGCTCTTTGACCAGGGCGTCGTCTAATTACCTTTTTTCTTAAAGGTTGGATTTATTAGCATCAGTCATCGCTGTTGTTACATCAATTAATGCTGTTGACGGGTCACCGGACCCCCATGCCCCTCTACCCCCCTATCCCCCTTACCCCCCCCCCCACATGCTCCACCCTTCAGAAACAGAAGACCCTCCTCTCTCTCTCTCTCTCTCTCTCTCTCTCTCTCTGGCATTAAAGGCCTGTCATATCCCAGCATGCCGCGGGGCCCCCGGCCACAGCCCAGCGGTGTCAATTAAATTTGATTGACTGAGTAAAAGAAGCACACAAATAAGCCGAAACAACAGACACAAAAATCTATACATGACCCCCCCCCACACCTCCGCCCCCCGCTGTCAAATCAGCGGCTCGTCTCTCCCAGTTTCATGGAGCCGCTGTGTGTGAGGCCCCCAGCAAACAGTCAACCAATTAGCGGCTGTGGAGCCTCGTCCAGAGGCCCCTGGGTATCGACTCAAACTGTTGTCCAATAAATGAGGCCTAATTTATCAGCTTAACGCCCCCCAACCCCCCGCTGCAGGACGGAGGAAAGAAAACAAACAGCTTGTGGTTTTTGTTTTGTGAGCTCCTTCAGCCTTCCTCACATCTCAACTTGTTGTTTTACTAATTGTCACGCGGCGAGCTCGTGTTTCATATTTGCCGCCATGATGGAGGGCGGCCATTAGAGCGGGCCCCATTAGGCTCCGTGGGGAAGCGGCGGCGCTGCGTGGGAACCATCAAAGACCAATTTGCCCTGCAAACACTATAAATCCTGGCCGCCGGTAAGTGACTGCTTTTCATGCTGCAGAAATAAATACTGGCTCCGTTATGAATCGTCCATTAAACCAGCAGAGAGAACAATTCACACAACACATCCGTCTTGATCAGGGTGGTCAAAAGTGGGGTCCTGGGACCTGTAGAGGGACTTTACAGGCCTGCAGGAGGACCCAGATATTCTGCCACCTGAGACACTGTCATGAGTTAATAACTGTCTGACCTTTGACCCTTATTACTGCTGTTAAATGGCAGTTGGATGTAAGGTGGTTTGTAACATGATGCTGTTTGGAAAGTTAAAGTTTTGGGTTGTTCAGCCTCTCAGGCAAATAAATCATATTATTTATATTATTTATTTATAAATTAGTTTCAAATTAATTTTTTAGCAGGCTAAACATTTAGCTTGATGCTTTTTTGTTGTTAAAGATTTAGTTTGCAATGTAAATATTTAACTTGATAACTAAATATTAATATTTCTAAAGTAATATTTAATTAGTGACCTGATGAAGTTAGACATACTTTCTACAAAAAGAAGAAAAGGTAAAAAAATTCAAACTTAATCAGAGGAAAAACTTTTAGTGGTTTTTGGTTGGTTCATTTTGCTTCGGCTTCTTTTCTTCACAACATTTGAGATCATTTTGAGATTTTGTGAGATTAAAAAAAGAAAACAGAAAAAGATGAATACTTTACAGTCAGAGTGAAAATAAACTGAGAAAATCAACATGACTCCAAATAAAAGTCCAGAAATAAAAGTTTACTTCAGTTTGTCTGAAACAGACCAGCGACCACACACTCCCACATTCAACAAGTTTCTTTTTGCAAACAGTTCGGAGTTTTTCTGCGATTATCTGGGAATGTTTTTATCTGAACTTGATCCCGAAATAAAAACCAACCAGAATCAGGAGAAATTTCTGGAAACAGACAGAAATTCTCTAAAAGTGGAGCTGAGGTCATGAAGGAGCAAACTGCACAGCAGAAGCTCACAGCGATGACCTTTAACCCAGGATGTGAATGAGACAAAATGGAAAACAGAGACAGAACTGAACTCAACATTACCTTGAGATGCACATCCCCCTGTTCTCACCAGGGGGCGCTAGATCTGTAAAAATAACCTGGGAATCCAGGCAAAGCTCCCAGTGAGAGAACATTTGAGCATTTTGAATGTAAACTAACTGGACTCACTGAAGGAGATCATTCAGAACTTTGAACAGAAACTTTAAAAATCGAGCAAAAAAACAACATCAGGCTTTTCTTTCCTGCTTCATCACAACAAGCTGCAGAAAACTTTCTTCAAACTTCATGCAGATAAAATGTAGAAGGTGCTTCTTGAAACCTCCCCGTCATCTAACGTCTACCTCATGCCAAAAATACTGCATAGATAATGAAGAAATAAGAGGTGGAATACAACGTAAACAATTTAAATACTAATCAAATATGTACAGTGGGTTGTTTAAAGTTGTGCTGGTGCTTGATTAAAAAATAAAAACTCTAAACCGTAACACTGTGTGCAGAAACATAAATACTTGGTTTGTGGTGGAGATCAGGAAACGAACATGAATCAGTTCAAACGTTTCCCAGTGAAAACCAACAAAAAACCATCCTGGAAGAGAAGAAGTGACATCTGAAGTATGAAGACTCAGATACAGGCGGGTCTGAAAAATAGTTTATAAACTTTAAAAAGGTTGAAGATTTGAGGCTGAGAACATGAGAACCTTTAAAACAAAACAGACGTGAAAATAAAACTGTTTAAAATGAACAATTTTTAATTTAAAACCCAGAGAAAAGATGTAAAATTTAACAACCAGGAACTAAAAACCTCCAAAATGATTTAATTCATGAAGAAACTGATCTAAGCTTGTAATAAAAACATATAGAAAAAGAGAAGCAGACAGCAGCACCTGATCCAGAATCCCGACCGGCACCAGGAAACGGATCAGCAGCAGGTTTTACACGTCCTGCTGGTTTAAAGGCACAGAAAGGTTTGGGGTCCAAATCCAGACTAAAAGTCTGGATCCTCTGATCGTCCAGAACCAGAAGTCTGATCATCAGCTCTGAATTTGGACCTGTGACACCTGAGATGTTCAGAACTGGATCAGAACCAACTGGGTTTGTGGCGGTTTGCTCTGGACAGACGGGTCAGAAAAGGAAGAAGCTGGAACCGTTTCTGGAGGATCGGGTCGAGGATCGGACCCGTCAGGATTCACCGCTTCATAAATGAAGAGGTTATTGTGAAACAAAGAGACGCAGATTATTGATCTGAAAGGAGAGCAGAACTTTGTAACGGTGAGCGAAGAGATCCAAAGATTTTGATCTGATAAAGATGATTATCTTTAAACATCCAAACATTAACTAGAAATCTGTTCTGATAAATGTTGGTGCTAGCTGATGATCCTAGTGGTGCTAGTTCATAATGCTAGCTGATGATGCTAGCTAGTGGCTGATGATGCTAGCTAGTGGTGCTAGCTAGCGTTGTCAGATTTAGCTAAGGGTGTTAGCTCTATCAGTGTTAACATGGATTCCTTTAAAGTTGGATGATTTAAAAGAAAAATGATCCGTTTATTATCATCGTTTTGTTCTGAACTGAATTAACTTTCTTTTCATGTTGATCAGTTTTTATGAAAAGCTAAATGTTGTGATTGGTTCTCATGTTCAAGGCCTCTTCTGTTTTCAGCTGGTCAGACGTTGCTGACTCGGCTCTTGCCCTTGGCTCCGCCCGCAACGGACTTCCTGCCAGGTGAGTTCTGATAGGCTGACGGTTTAACCGGACTGCCGCCGCTGTTGTTGTTGTTGTTGCTGTGGTTGGAGTTCCCGCTCAGCGTCTCCATGATGGAGCGAAACGTCCCGAATGACCTCTTGCCCTCTGAGCCGGCGGCCGCAGTCCTGTCCTTCCCCGGCGGCGCCCGGCTGGTTTCTGGCTCCTGATTGGACGAGCTCTTGTGGACCTGCTCGTCGAAGGTGACCCGGAGCTTCAGGTTCTGGGAGGTCTTCCTGCGGGACGATGGCGACTTCAGGGCGCTCTTGGGGCTGGTGGCGACCTTCTGGCCGTCGGCGGCGGGGGTTTCTGGGGTTCTGGTTTCCGTGGCGTCCGGGTCGCTGGACGTGGGGGACGGCGTGTAGCCGATGCTGTCCACAGACTTCGACCCGCTGAGAGAAAAGGCCAGCTTCCTCTCAGCCGAGGATGAGGAGGGGAGGTGCTTCCTCATCACCTGATGGAGGTGGTTGGACGCCGGCTCCTCCTCTGTGACTGGCAGGTGGGTCGGCCTATCGGGTCGCAGCGCGGCCTGGTTCCGCCCCTCCTCCGGCGGGTAGCCCTCGGAGTCGGACTCGCTCAGAGAGCGCTGCATGATCTGCTTGAGTCTGGCCAGTTTGAGCTCCCTCCTCTCCAGCAGGCCGGTCCTGTGGCCCCCCGCGGCGCCGTCTCTGCCCAGGCCGGCCCCCGGCTGCGGCCTCTCTCTGACGCCGTCGCCATCTTTCCCCAGAAGCTGCCGCAGCACCGAGTCCGGAGCCACGCCCCCCTGCCGGACCAACCAGTGTCCGTCGCCAGGCACCGCCTCGGCCGTCAGCAGCAGCTCTGGACACGCCTCCCCCAGGGGCTGATGGGAACTGGAGGCCAGGGAGGAACACACATCATCACCAGGGACCAATCAGTGAGTGTGTGTACGGTGTGTGTACGGTGTGTGTACGGTGTGTGTCCAGTGTGTGCGTTCAGTGTGTGCAGTGTGTGCGCAGTGTGTGTGCAGTGTGTGTGCAGTGAGTGTGCAGTGAGTGTGTGTACAGTGTGTGTGCAGTGTGTGCGCAGTGTGTGTGCAGTCTGTGTACAGTGTGTGTGCAGTGAGTGTGCAGTGAGTGTGTGTGCAGTGTGTGTGCAGTGTGTGTACAGTGTGTGTGCAGTGAGTGTGCAGTGAGTGTGTGTACAGTGTGTGTGCAGTGCGTGTGCAGTGCGTGTACAGTGTGTGTGCAGTGTGTGTGCAGTGAGTGTGTGTACAGTGTGTGTGCAGTGCGTGTGCAGTGTGTGTACAGTGTGTGTGCAGTGTGTGTGCAGTGAGTGTGCAGTGTGTGTACAGTGTGTGTGCAGTGTGTGTGCAGTGAGTGTGCAGTGTGTGTGCAGTGTGTGTGCAGTGTGTGTGCAGTGTGTGTACAGTGTGTGTACGGTGTGTGTGCAGTGAGTGTGTGTACAGTGTGTGTGCAGTGTGTGTGCAGTGTGTGTATGGTGTGTGTGCAGTGTGTGTGCAGTGTGTGTACAGTGTGTGTGTACAGTGTGTGTGTGCAGTGAGTGTGTGTGCAGTGTGTGTGCAGTGAGTGTGTGTACAGTGTGTGTGCAGTGTGTGTGCAGTGAGTGTGTGTACAGTGTGTGTGCAGTGTGTGTGCAGTGTGTGTACAGTGTGTGTGCAGTGTGTGTATGGTGTGTGTGCACAGTGTGTGTGCAGTGAGTGTGTGTGCAGTGTGTGTGCAGTGAGTGTGTGTGCAGTGTGTGCAGTGTGTGTGCTGTGAGTGTGTGTACAGTGTGTGTGCAGTGTGTGTATGGTGTGTGTGCAGTGTGTGCAGTGTGTGTGCAGTGAGTGTGCAGTGTGTGTACAGTGTGTGTGCAGTGTGTGCACAGTGTGTGTACAGTGTGTGTGCAGTGTGTGTGCAGTGTGTGTGCGGTGTGTGTATGGTGTGTGTACAGTGTGTGTGCAGTGTGTGTGCAGTGTGTGTACAGTGTGTGTGCAGTGTGTGTGCGCAGTGTGTGTGCAGTGTGTGTACAGTGTGTGTGCAGTGTGTGTGCAGTGTGTGTACAGTGTGTGTGCAGTGTGTGTGCAGTGTGTGTACAGTGTGTGTGCGGTGTGTGTGCAGTGTGTGTATGGTGTGTGTACAGTGTGTGTGCAGTGTGTGTGCAGTGAGTGTGCAGTGTGTGTACAGTGTGTGTGCAGTGTGTGTACAGTGTGTGTGCAGTGTGTGTACGGTGTGTGTGCTGTGTGTGTACAGTGTGTGTGCAGTGTGTGTGCAGTGTGTGTGCAGTGTGTGTACAGTGAGTGTGCAGTGTGTGTGCAGTGTGTGTACAGTGTGTGTACAGTGTGTGTGCAGTGTGTGTACAGTGTGTGTGCAGTGTGTGTACGGTGTGTGTGCTGTGTGTGTACAGTGTGTGTGCAGTGTGTGTGCAGTGTGTGTACAGTGTGTGTACAGTGTGTGTGCAGTGTGTGTGCAGTGTGTGTGCAGTGTGTGTGCAGTGTGTGTACAGTGTGTGTGCAGTGTGTGTGCGCAGTGTGTGCACAGTGTGTGTACAGTGTGTGTGCAGTGTGTGTGCGGTGTGTGTGCGGTGTGTGTATGGTGTGTGTACAGTGTGTGTGCAGTGTGTGTGCAGTGTGTGTGCAGTGTGTGTACAGTGTGTGTGCAGTGTGTGTGCGCAGTGTGTGTGCAGTGTGTGTACAGTGTGTGTGCAGTGTGTGTACAGTGTGTGTGCAGTGTGTGTGCAGTGTGTGTACAGTGTGTGTGCGGTGTGTGTGCGGTGTGTGTATGGTGTGTGTACAGTGTGTGTGCAGTGTGTGTGCAGTGAGTGTGCAGTGTGTGTACAGTGTGTGTGCAGTGTGTGTACAGTGTGTGTGCAGTGTGTGTACGGTGTGTGTGCTGTGTGTGTACAGTGTGTGCAGTGTGTGTGCAGTGTGTGTACAGTGAGTGTGCAGTGTGTGTGCAGTGTGTGTACAGTGTGTGTACAGTGTGTGTGCAGTGTGTGTACAGTGTGTGTGCAGTGTGTGTACGGTGTGTGTGCTGTGTGTGTACAGTGTGTGTGCAGTGTGTGTGCAGTGTGTGTACAGTGTGTGTACAGTGTGTGTGCAGTGTGTGTGCAGTGTGTGTGCAGTGTGTGTACAGTGTGTGTGCAGTGTATGTGCAGTGTGTGCGTTACCTGGGTGACCTGGTGGGCGTCCCCTCGGTCTTGCTGGGGTCCATCAGCCTCTGCAGATGTTTCTGCAGGTTGATCCTCTCTGCTGTTTGCCTAAATGACATGAGATGAAACAAACTCAGTTTGTTCTCAGTCAGCTGAAGGTTTGGTTCTGGTCCAGCGGTCCGGTTGGATCTGGGCCCACTCACTCGTTGAGCTGCTTGGTGAGCTTGACGACCTGCGAGGCCAGCGACATGCAGGTCTCCACCACCACCAGGTAGCGGGCGCAGGTGGTGTGGCCCTGCCGCTCGGCGCTCTGCGACGGCCGCTCCCCCTGCTGGTTCTGGATCGTCACGTTGGATCCGTACTCCACCAGAGTCTGGACTCACAGAGGCAGGAGCTCAGCTTCCACACAACATCAGGAAACCAGAGGCTTCATCCACCCAGCTGCCCGGTGTGGGCTTACCTGGATACAGGTGAGGTGTCCGTACTGCGCCGCCACGTGGACGGCCGTGTTTCCGTTCTGGTCCACTTCGTCCAGGGAGATGGCCTGTTCCTGCATGAACTGCAGCAGCCACAGCAGAACCTTCTCCTGCACAGAACCAAACAGGTTTCTGGAGGTGGAGCGTTACCTCATCACACCACAGGGGGCAGCGGCGCGTCAGGCAGCTTCATAACAGCCATGAAGAAAATGATTCTGGAACCATCAGTTCAGCTCTGAAAACATTTCTTTCATCTTCAGAGCAAAATGTTGATTTTTTTACAGTTCGGCTTCATTAATGCTCTGAATGTTTGCATGTTTTGAGTTTATATTCACCAGTTGAATATTAATCGACGAGTGAATCAGCTGATTATTTGGAGCGGTGAGTGTTGATAACTGTTGCTGTGGTTACCTGTCCGTATCGAGCAGCATAGTGGATCAAACTGGGATGCTCTCTGGTGCAGCTCAGCTCAGCGATGGCCTCCGTCTCACTCACCATCCACCTCACACACTCCAGATGGCCGTTCTGAAACACACACACACACACACACACACACACACACACACCACACACACACACACACACACACACACACACACACACACACACACACACACACACACACACGGACACGGACACACTCTTATTACCCAGAACCGAGTTCTGCAGAGCGACACCGGCTCCTGGACCTGGAGCTCTAAACAGTTTGATCCCAACATCAACAAACCTCGACTGTCTGACATATTTCATTAACAATCAGCTGGTAGGAAATCTGTCTTCCTTCAACTAGAAGAGCCAATCAGAGCAGAGAACAGCTGCTCAGCTTCCTGTCTGGCAGCCAATCAGAGCAGCTGGGCTGAACTCTCCTCCTTCCGTCTGATTGGACAAACAACCGGCTGCTGTTAGCGTTCACATCGTTTTATCTCGGATGTGATCTTCCTCCCTATCAGAGTTTTTACAGCCGGCTTCCTGTCTGCAGAGGAAGTTCAACCAAAGCTTAGCTGGACAGCAGAAACAGAAACACAACCTGAACCGTCGAGGCGCTGATCCGGTACTTTACTCACCACAGAACCAGGCAGAATAAGAGCTTGAAAGTTTAAATGAGCTCATTCAGATTTGATGCTGCAGGAAAAAGAAAACCTGGGAGAAAAAGCAGGAAAATCCTAAAAGGTTCAGCTGAGAACACTTAGCAGCTAATGAAATATAATGGCCTAGTCCAAGTCCAGCCCTGACTGCATTGGTGTAGTGGGGTGTTTGGAGAGCGGGTCCTGACCTTTACCCCCAGGCCGGCGGGGGTGAGCTGCAGGCTGTTGCGCTCGTTGAGGCCGTCTTCGCCCATCAGGGAGGTGAGATGCTGCAGGCAGTCGGCGTGACCCTGAGAGGCGGCGGCGTGCAGCAGGTTGTTCCCGTCCTCGTCTCGGATCAGCTCCAGGTTGTCGGCCGCCAGGTGAGGCTGCAGGAGGAAAAGGAGCAAGAGGAGGAAGAGGAGAAGCAGGAGGAAGAAGAGTAGGAGTAGGAGGAGGAGGAGGAAGAGGAGGAGGTGGACATCATGTTCATATCAGTCGATAACAATAATTATTGATTTGGTTTTTGTTTTAAATGTCTGACGTGTCACTTCCTGTTTGACCTTCAGTTTTCACGCCATGTTTTTATTTTTAAGCAGTTTTGAGGCTCAGAAGAAAATCCTGCAATGGCTGACACATCAAGATGTTGCTGAGCAACCAACTTTTCCTCCGCCTACATCTCCCAGAATGCTGTGTGGTTCTGGATCAGATTCAGTGAAGGTATTGAACGTTCTATCAATATTGATCACATTGTGATCAATGTTGTGATTATTGATCAGAACATCTGCTTCAGTCCTACAGTAATGGTTTGTTCCGTTTCCTCCAGATGAATTAATGTTTTTATGAAATGCGTGTGGACATGTTGGCTGTAATGCCTCCACCCACCAGCAGGGAGATCTGCCCCTCCCTGACGATGTTGATGATGTTCTGGTTCTTCTTCGTCTCCTCGTCCAGCTCTCCCCTCGCTGCTCCTCCAGGAGTCCAGGTTTTGGAGGCGTCCGGTTTACCCATAATGCACCCTGCCAGGGGGAACGCCAGCCCCCCCGGAGGCTCCGCCCCGGACCGCTGGCTCTGGGGGTCCGGGAAGACGCGTGCAGACAGCAGCTTGTCTGGAATCAGAACCGATCGGGTCAGAGCGTTTCCTGATGTCAGAGGGAAACGTTTTCACACCCCACCTGCATCAGAGAAGGAGGAGAGAGAGGAGGAGCTGAGGAGGCCGGGCGGCGGCGGCTCCGCCTGGTAGACGCCGCCACCGCCGGCTCCTCCCGCGGAGCGGTGCAGGTGGTGGAGGTCCGGGTCCATGGACTTGGACTTCCTGAGGTCCGACCACTTCACCGGAGACAGAACGCAGAACTGCAGGAAGCAGAACCCAGACGGAGCTTCAGGCTCGTTTATCAGGAAACTCAAAGTAAAAACTGTTTTCCTTTTCTCTGGAGGCGCTGCTGGAACCCGTCAGCAAGCAGGACCAGAACCAGGCGTTTGGACTCACCGGCGTCTGGCTGCTGCTGCCCAGGCTCAGAGGCTCGTTGTGGGTCAGAGTGGAGCTCTTCATCCCTCCTCCTCTCCCTCGGTTCCTCTCCAGCGTCCCCCCGCCGGCGCTGCCCCCCGGCGCCGCGGCCCGCCTGTCGTGTGGGACCCGCGGCAGCGTGGACATCTGCTGGCTGGACTTGATGTACGGCACGTCCAGAATCTCGTCCATGTCCAGGTCGTAGTGCTCCAGCTCCCCGAACAGAGCCTGAGCGTTTCCGCCGACCCCGCCAACCTTCGCCTTGCCGCCGTCGCACGGCGTGGAGGCGGCGGTCTGCTTCTCGGAGCCGGGCTCGTCCTTACCGACCTCGCTCTGCTCCAGTGCCGGACCCTGGGTCTGGCTCTTCCCGTCCGAGTCCGACTCCGTGGTTTCGGGCTGGTGCTTCAGGGGGGAGACCCGCTTCACCGGACGGAACTTGCTGTGGACCTCGGCCAGGCCCGTGGGTTTGATGCCCCCCCCGCTGTGGGAGGGAACGCCGCGGCTCCAGTTGATGGCCGGAGCTGCAGAAGAAGAAAATATTCCATCTGAAACATTCCTGGAAAAGGAGACAAACGTCCCGGATTCTTCATTCGGTTGCTTTTCTAGTCCAGAAACCCTCAGAGGTTAAAAATCTGAGGTTGAGATCAAAACCCAACAACAAACTGATCCGTCTGATCAGAACATCTCTGACTCATGCAATCGGATGAGGAGTATGGAAGACTGATCCTGCCAAAATTGTCAATTAATACAGAAATATATAAATTACTTGGTGATTAATGTGCCAAATGTTACATCCAAAAAATAAGAACTTTACCAAATTATTTGATCACATGTCGTATAAATTTAGCATTATTACTATTAATTTACCATTTTATGTTGAAGCACATTGTTTTAGTAGTTTTCTTTTATATCTCAAGATTTTCCAGTTTTTCATGATTTTTTAATTGTCATTATTTTTATATAAAATTTAGCTTATAGTTAAATGTTTTCATGTTCTGTATTTATTTTGTAGTTGTTTTAATTTACTGTAAATTTTACTTCTTTCTCGTTTTCTATACTTTATATTTTTAATCTACTGTCAGTTTTTTTATGTTGTCCTTCAAATGGATTTTATTTACCATCAATTACATTTTTTACAATTTCTCCACATTTTGTATTTACTGACACTTTTTAATCATACACTGATTTATTTTCTTATTTGCATTTTCTTGTTTATTTAAATATTTCTTTTCTATTTTCCTCATCTCCTTTTATTTTTCCTTCTTCATTCAGAGGTCAGAGGTCATCAAATCAACAAACAAAACAAAACAATTCCTCCAAGAATAGATTCAGGAAATTCATTAAAAAGCTCCTCAGAAAGTTACAGAAACATTGATCTGAACCGGTTTCCATGACCGAACCAGCCGGTCCGGTCCGGTCCGGTCGGATCAGGACCGGGTCGGATCGGGACCGGTCCAGTTGCTCACCTGGTCTCTCTTCTGCCGGGCCATCGCTCCTTCTGGACAGTTCTGGGATGTTCTTCAGTGATGTGACAGAATACTGGAAAACAAATGACAGGTTCTGGTGTTATGAATCTAAACGGGTCGGTTCAGAACCGAGCGTGGTTTTGGGTTTCCATACGGACCACTGAGTCATCAGAGAAGTCGATCTCATCCAGGTCCAGGTATTCAGGAGCCTCCATGTTTCCACCTCATCATCAGAATCAGAACCAGCTGCAGAGAGAAGCGGAGTCACAAACCGGGCCGGACCAGAACATTCTGCTCTGCTGCCGCGACACAATCAGCAGGAATCAAACAGGAAGCGGCTGCAGGAAACCGACCAGCCCTGGTAAAAACTGGGCTTCTGACCCAGACTGGGCCCAGATTTACACACAATACGGAGGAAGTTCTGGAAGTCGGGTCCAATCTCAGCAGAACTTTCCCCTCCGCAGTAAAAGGACTGAAGCTCAACAACAGCAGGATAATCTGGATTAACGAGGAGCGGCGTTCCGCACGGCGTCGCCGGGCTCAGACGACCCGAACGGGTCGAACCGACTCCGCAGAGGTCCAGCCAGAATCCAGGACCGGCCCAGAGAGGGTCAAGAGGTCAAAGAGCAGAAAGGCTCCAGGAGAACCTTTAATACTGACAGATTATCTCAGATTAAGATTATATCTAAATATGTAGATATAAACATTTATGTATAGCTAAATATGTACATTTAATTAGATTCATCTAAACATTTATTTACAAATATCTACATTAAAATCATCTAAAACATTAATATATAGATAAATATCTAAATACATTTCAGAAATACAAGTAAAGAAATATTTATTTAGATATTTAGAAGTAAATAAGAATTATTTATTATCTAAAATATAAATTTAGGTATTTATTTATATAGATATAATAATAGATATATTCAAATAAATAAAATATCTATTCATGAAAAATGTTTTTCATACTTCAAACACTTTAATATTTGAATCATTTCATATTTTAAGCAATCAAATATTTTCTAGCCAAAAAAAGAACTGAATTATTTTTAGCAACATTTTCTCTCTCTCTCTCTCTCTCTCTCTCTCTCTCTCTATATATATATATATATATATATATATATATATATATATATATATATATATATATATATATATATATTTTATTAACTTGAGTATCTGCTAATGAACGAGGCAAAAATCAATAGCATAATTGATATCGCTCATTAGGGTTCAGCCAATCAGAACCAAGGACAATAAAAGAAGGGCCCAGATTGGCTGGTTTGTAAAGATCAGTCCACAGTGAGACGAGTCTTTCTGTCGTGGTTCCAATGGGCGACAGAAAATCTGAAGTTCTGAGACAAAGCAAACGATTCGACCGCGCCGTGTTTTATGATTCCTTTAACTACCTTATTACTGGAATAAGGAGATATTTCAGTAATAAATTTGACGGCTTGATTGTTTCAACAGGACAGATACTGACTACTTTTCCCTACTCCACAGAACCCAACAGTGAAACAACAACAGAACCATCTGGAATCCCACAGACCCACCAGAACCTCAACGTCAGATCCCTGCTCAGGATGGCAGAACCGTCCAGGAAACCCGGCCGGGTTAGAACCTGCAGCAGCAGGAAGTCCACAGAATAATACAAAGTTCTGGTTCTGGTCCAGCTTCCACTGAGGCCGCAGGATGCTCAGGAAGCTGCTTTCTGTGTGGGAGGAACCGCCGAGCTGAAACCCCTAAATGCAGCTTACAGAACCGGGCCAGCCCGGATAACAACCGTTTGGGTCGGGAAGCTGAAAATAAGAGCGGAGAGAAAATGGGAGCAAACATCTGGCCGCCGTGTTTATGTGAACAGCTGATGAGCCGCCCGGCTGCCAGCAGCTAAAATAAACCCAGCGGGTCGGCGGCTATGGACTGGTTCTGGAAGATCCACCAGAACTTTTCTAGAAGAGCATCAGAGGTTCTGCGAGAACCAGAACCAACACTGTAACCGACCCGACTGAACGCAGCAGACCTGAGGGAACGACAGGCTGGTTAACAGAGACAGAACCAGAACCAACTGGGTCTGGTTCTGTTGGTGGAAACGCTTCCACCAGAACCAACCGGGTCTGGTTCCGTCGGTGGAAACGTTTCCACCAGAAAGAATCTGAGCAAACCGACGAGATTTTAAGATCTGTTTTATCAAAAGAAAAAAAAACAATATTTTACAAAAATAAAGAGAAAAGATCAATATTCTTTATGTGGGTGTCAGGTCTTTGACTAGGCCCAAAATTCACAACATGGATATTTACGCATTATTAATGTTGGAGCAATGAGAGTTAAAAGAAAGAAAAAAACAGAACCAAAATGGAATATCTTATAAAAGTGTAGCAAAAATTTAATTTTCTTTTTTTTTCACTTTTTCTGCATTAAATCAGCAGCAGATGAATCATAATAACATCCAAATAGTTCACACAGAACAACAACCATGTCAAATCATTCAGCACTTTTTAAGGCTTTAAATGAAAGAGTTTTAATCCCAGTAAAAACCCAGCGCTGCAGCGCTGCACCAGAACCAGAACCCGACCCAAACTGGTTCTGATTTGTGGTTTTCCTGGAGTTTGAACTTGGAAATGACGAGTTTCCTTCTAACTGCAGCAAAAACAAACCCAGAGTCACAACTGCTTTCATTCAGCAGATCAGTGTAAAGAAAATAATTTAAGGAAAATAATGTAAGGAAAATAATTTGAGAAAAACTCATCATGACAGAGAAAATCTCAGCAAATATTTCCTGTTAACTTGAGCCAATAGAGTAAAACATTGATGGTTTTTTTCCCTAAAGAATAAGATGATAAATGGTAATAAGTAGTAGTAAAATAACTTCAGTCGTTTAAATTTCGGCCCTTTAGCACCTTGTAAAGGAAATATATATATATTCTGGAAAGTTTACAGATAAACAAAAAACACCTGAACGCATCATTTAGTGACTGCAGGTAAACGTTTCCTCCAGTTTAAAGCTGGATGTCTGGAGGCCGGATGAGAGCCAGGCTGCTTCCTGATGCCCCTCTGGAGGTTTCTGATCTGCCCTGATTGTTTAATCCGCTCAGCCTCCACCGGGGTCAGCAGCTAAGCTAACTGGCTAACCAGCTAAGTGGCTAACCAGCTAACGGGCTAACCAGCTAACGGGCTAACGGGGAAAGCTGCTGGAAAACTGGGTCGAACCGGCGGCTCGGCCGGGAAACCTGGAGCCGCCCGCTCAGGGTGTCACGGAGAGCCGTGGAGGACCGTACCGTATCGAAGAGAGGCTGGGAACCCGGAGGAGAGAGCCGGTGGAGGGGCTGGAGGAGCCAGCGGAGCCGCTAGCTGATCCAGCTGTTTTTCCCTGCTGTCGCCTCGATGTCTTCAGGAGCACAAAGACTTTGACATATGGGCCAATCAGAGAGCAGCCCGGACAGGAGGGCTCACTCCGACACGTTTTCACACACGGACAGTTACTGCTGTTTGGGATGCCGAAGCTGCTCCGTTAAAGTTTCGCATTATGAAGAATATAAAGGAGCAAAACAGAAAGAAAACAAATACATTAAGGTTTAGAAATCAATAATAATAAATTACATGAGGACAAATATTTTTTAAAATAATTTTAAATGAATAATGCATCACTATTGAAAATGAAGGAAATCATTCATAACAGAAGCTGTTTTATGTTTTAAATAATAATGTTTACCATAATTTTTTGTAAAGAAAATTTAATTTCTGTTAAATAAAACAAAACAAATAATATTTCTAAAGTTGGAGAACATAAATGCAAATTGTGACATCATTACATTCAGTGAGTCAAAAGCAGGAACTAATTTAATCAGTTTTCAGTTATTTTCATTTTTATTGCTCATAATCAAACACTGCTGTACTCCAGAACGAAATCTTGATCTTCCTGTATCATTATGACACAAAGTAAACTAAAACACATATTTGTTATCACAGTCAGTGGTGTTTTTATTTTTAAATTATTATTTGACATGTTAGCATGGCTCACCACCCAGGGCGGCATGAGAGGGCGCGCATCCGTTTGTGCACAGTGTGTGGAAATAGTTCATATTTGCTTTTGTTTGTTCTCTTGATTTTCTGCCAGAAAATTAAAAACTTTTTTTTAAACAGATTGTTCTAATGCAAGTATTGTTAGATTTTTCTGCTGCATTCTTAAATCTGCAGCATTTACATCAAATTAAACTGAAGGTGCTGCTTGCTAACAAATTAGCTTTATTTTCCTTTCCGATCTGGGTGACTCATCGTTACAATAGAGGATCTTTGGCAGCCAGCCAGGAGGAGGAGAGCCGTTATTTGGACCCGATATCCCTAGAATAAAAACCCGGTTCTAAAAACATACAGAGAACTTTAATCATTATCATCAACACAAATTGACAGATTTAATTCTCATAAAACTTTCATTTTGCTCTGATTTAAATAAACTTCTATTCAATCAGCTCAGATAGATAAACTGATTGTATCAGCTTATTTATCTACAAGAATTTTCTACAATGTAGAAATTTATTGACCACTTGTCTGAGCTTTATCGTATAAAGAACTGTTCACTTTTCAAACTCATCTGTTCATCTCGGAGAGAAAAAGTTCAAAACGTTTCTTTTGGCTTCCAGTAATTTTAGTTCAACATCCTGCAGTGAGAAAAGATGAAACTGAAAGACTTTAACAGAAGAAAACGATTAAATCAACATTTTGACATGAATCTAAATTCATCATAATGGATTAAACATTCATTGATAAAAACTTTATTGTTATAAACACTGTAACGTGCGAATGTTTAAGTTTTAATGATAAACTGGAATCAAATCTGCAACTTTCAGACTTCAGGACTAAACTAATAAATACTAAACCACCAAACTAATAAACACTAAACTACCAAACTAATAAATACTAAACTACTAAACTAATAAATACTAAACTAATAAATACTAAACCACCAAACTACCAAACACTAAACTACCAAACTAATAAACACTAAACTAATAAACTAATAAATACTAAACCACCAAACTAATAAATACTAAACTACCAAACTAATAAACACTAAACTACCAAACTAATAAACACTAAACTAATAAACTAATAAATACTAAACCACCAAACTAATAAATACTAAAATACTAAACTAATAAACACTAAACTACCAAACTAATAAACACTAAACCACCAAACTAATAAATACTAAACTACTAAACTAATAAATACTAAACCACCAAACTACCAAACACTAAACTACCAAACTACCAAAACACTAAACTACCAAACTAATAAACACTAAACTACCAAACTAATAAACACTAAACTACTAAACACTAAACTACCAAACTAATAAATACTAAAATACTAAACTAATAAACACTAAACCACCAAACTAATAAATACTAAACTACTAAACTAATAAACACTAAACTACCAAACTACCAAAACACTAAACTACTAAACTAATAAATACTAAAATACTAAACTAATAAACACTAAACTACCAAACTAATAAACACTAAACCACCAAACTAATAAATACTAAACTACTAAACTAATAAATACTAAACCACCAAACTACCAAACACTAAACTACCAAACTAATAAATACTAAACCACCAAACTAATAAATACTAAACCACCAAACTAAAAAATACTAAACTACTAAACTAATAAACACTAAACTACTAAACTAATAAATACTAAAATACTAAACTAATAAACACTAAACCACCAAACTAATAAATACTAAACTACTAAACTAATAAATACTAAACCACCAAACTACCAAACACTAAACTACCAAACTAATAAACACTAAACTACTAAACTAATAAACACTAAACTACCAAACTAATAAACACTAAACTACCAAACTAATAAATACTAAACCACCAAACTAATAAATACTAAACCACCAAACTAATAAATACTAAACTAGTAAAAATAAACACTAAACTACTAAACTAATAAACACTAAACTACCAAACTAATAAACACTAAACTACTAAACTAATAAACACTAAACTACCAAACTAATAAACACTAAACTACCAAACTAATAAACACTAAACTAATAAACTAATAAATACTAAACCACCAAACTAATAAATACTAAACCACCAAACTAATAAATACTAAACTACTAAACTAATAAACACTAAACTACTAAACTAATAAATACTAAAATACTAAACTAATAAACACTAAACCACCAAACTAATAAATACTAAACTACTAAACTAATAAATACTAAACTACTAAACTAATAAACACTAAACTACTAAACTAATAAATAGTAAACTACTAAACTAATAAATACTAAACTACTAAACTAATAAACACTAAACTACTAAACTAATAAATAGTAAACTACTAAACTAATAAACACTAAACCACTGAACTAATAAATACTAAACTACTAAACTGCTCTGCCCAGCGAGTTGAATGTTGGGTTTGAATGTTTCTGTTTCCAGTAGAGATTAATCCATTTAAAAAAACTATAAACAAATTTTCTCTATGAATATTTTTTAGATGAATTTTGTTCTCGTGTTTCTAGTTCCCAGTGATATTTGAACCGCCATCTTCTTGCACAGCTTTTATTTATTTGCTCTTTGAGTTCTGGTCATCTCTCAGAGGAGATAATTGAAATAAAAGAACATTTTCTGCCTTTGTTTGTTTTGTTTTTAGAAAAATACGAGATTTTATTTTTGAGTCGCATTGCCCACCTCATTCAATACCAACCTTAAAAACTAAATTTCTAATTGCGGGGTTGTTAAACTACTCAGAACAATGCAGAGACTTTCTGCTCAGTCTGAGAAATAACAACACATTGGAGGTTAAATGTCATGAAATGGTCATAATTACACTACAGAGTTAACAGTGACAGAGCCCTGATCCCTGCATTTTGTTTTGGGTGATATAAATAATAATGTCTCGGATCAACAGAATGAGGAAAAAAACAAAGTTATCTGAAGAAATGTAAAGAACAGATTGAAAACAGAAAGACAAACTGAGCTCAGAGTATGTTAGGTTTATTAATATTCTTCATGTCTTTATGGTTCAATCATATTGTCTCAGATTTATTGCTATATAGTGTTACAACCAGGTTTTTATTCTCTGAGCTGCATGAAGGAGTTTTCTCCAGTTTTTCTTTTAATGCCAGGAAATGGGAGGAATACACAACAGTTACAGTTACAGTTACAGTAATATCACACAGCAGGACAAATGAAAAATCATCATATGCTAATTTTATGTTATTGAAAATAGGCTTAAATGCAAATCATTTCTTTTAGATTACAAACTAAAATTAACATTTTTAGTTTGTCATATTCATACAAACTGCAGAAGTTTGTTTGGAGGTGATTAAATCTTAACATTGGTCAAATTCATGTCTTCTGATAAATACAGTTAAAGCATAAATGATTCATTTCACATTCAGACTGGTCTTAGTTAAATCCTCCTGTCATGTTACTGACCTGCATCCCTGTGGTTACAATATAATGTATAATTCAGATTCAATCCTGGGCTTTTAGTTCATGTAAGTTTTGGGGAAAGCTGGTGGGATGGGAGCATTATACAATAAATAAGTGACTTTCACCCAACATTTTGAGTCACATATTTCACTTTATGAAATGTTGGGCTTTGCTATAAACATCTCAGAAAGAAATTTTAATCGCAGGGATGTGTAAATATTTGAATAACTTTAGCCAGATCTGCAAAAGGTAAAATTCATTTAAAATGTTTTAAATGTTCCTGTAATCGTGTCAGTGATATAATTTAGTCATATCACTACTTTTTTTAAAAAAAGAACAAAATGTGTGAATAAGACTGTATAAATAATTTGAACTTTCATTGTCATTAGAAATTGTTTTTACCTGTAGGACTGGTCTTGAACTTCTTCAGTTCTACTTGTAGCTGTGAAATCTTCTCCATTTGGCTAAATGTGAATGTTTTAGTCGTATAAGATGAATCATTTTTCTCCAGCGTCTCCATCAGTTCTGGGATCTGCCGTCTGTCTCTGATGTCCAGAACTAAATATCTTCCTCCACAGATCTGGAGGAGATCCTGGATGTGTCTGTTCTCCTTTATAAAGTTCCCAACAGCTGGATGTTTAGGGTCTGACTCCACAGTGAAGAGGATGGTGGTGAAGTCATTGACTCTGGAGCTGAATGTGTCCTGGATGGTGTGTAACTCTCCCTTGTCTTCATCAGTGAGGGGACCCACAGGCAGGACCAGGATGAAGGCGTGGACACCCTCAGGATCACAGAGGGAGACACACCTGAAGGATTCCTCCATCACTTCCTGCTGAGCTTTTCCATCCAAGGCAGGCAGCTGCACCAGAGAAACCCCACGTCCAAACACCTCTCCCTGCTTCCTGAGCCTCTCTGGAGGAAG